TATATATGCGTATATTATATACACAAAGATATTGCATACACCACAAATGCAATTGCAACCACAAATATAATTGTAAAATAGAAGATATTTTGGTTAAAGTGTGAAGTATTTTTATCTATTGTGTATAAATATATCATATATATGAGCGAAGTATATAACGCAGTTCATTTTTACGAAGTTTACACAAAGCTACAGTTGTTGAGTACAGCGTTTATAATGAAACACAATTGGACGAGAATTTATTTGCTTAACGTTTGAAATACAGTTGTAAGATTATTTATCTTCCAAGTGAAAACTAAACCATACAATTGTAATCGATCTATATTAAAGTTATATATCTATGTTGATAAAAAATATAATACATTTTTTATTTATGTACAATGTGAGTCACATAAACCTGTATTAATAGTGGTGACTTATCACATCATCGTCACACAGATCTGCGAATCTCACGTGAAACAAGTCCCAAGTCACCACTATTAATACACGGCTCGTAGCGTTACGAACTATTTTCGTATAAAACTATTCTCGTGTAAGAGTGTTCAGGTGTGAAATTACATTAAAAACTGAATACTTGATAAAATATTTTCTGTTTTATCTTCTTAACACAGCTTAAAGGCTTACATGGTTTATATGCATTATATATTTTATAGGTAAGCTGTATTAATTTTTATAAACAGTCTTCTTTTAATTATATATTCATGTTTATAATTTTATTATATCGATTAGTAGCAAATTTTATGTGCTCAACATTGTATATTTCCTATGTTCTTTTATAATAAAAATATATAAATATATTATTCTCTTATACAATAAAAATAATACGTATAAAAAATAGTAGATGAACTATTATACTTTCACACACGGTTAAGGAACTTTACGATACATTCTTTACTGCAGAACAATTTATCCTCCTTTATCGCCATTCTACCGTTCAGCAAGTTCTTCTTGCAACTGTAACAACAGAAACATGCCTCGGTCGCATGAAAGTCTAAGTTCTTTATAGACACACCCTGTTGATCGGCAGCAATTACAATATTACACGCAGCGCATGTCTTCGCATATGTTTTTTGATAACAAGGAAGACAAAGAGGACGATCGTTCTCGGTGATGTATTGCTGTCCAGCCAGCGGCATATCACAGTCCCAACAACAAAAATGCTTCACGTGGTAATTGTGCCCTTCTGCGACCGTGTATTCCCGCACGAAAATCAACTGTAATAAGACAGAAGTGTGAACGATTATTTAAATCATCGGTTTTGTCATTTTTTGATATTTTAAACAGTGTTTAAATAATAAAATATACAGATAGAATGCTTTCAAATTATTGTAGATTTTAATGGCATATTCTCTGGAATTTAAATAGAGTTGAAAATTCTGATACGAAAATGTCGAGGGAGTTTATCGCAATTTTTCAATTTTTAACACTGTGCATCTTTATTAAGATGTAATTTTGTAATTTATTGGAGTTTGCAAATTTAGTTCATGATAAGGTAATCTTTTTCATTAACTCAAAAAAGTATTAATGTCTTAATATTTTTGCATTAAGATTTTTAACTGTAATTAAATTTCAGAATACTCAAATTAATATACAGATTTGAGACACCTGCACGCACGCACGCGCGCGCGCACACACACACACATCTACACGTACACGAGAGTTGTATGTATCGTTAGATATCCTGTATATATTTCTTTTAATTACCTCGTCACAGGCGAAGCACCGGGGGATCCCTAAGTGCGCGGACAAGTCTCTCTCGCAATACAATTCGTTCTTATAGTGAAAGTACACCAGATCTACCAGCAATTCGTTGCACACCGAGCAAACGAAACAGCCGGGATGCCAGGACGCGTTGTTGGCCTTCTCCGCGGTTACGATGACATCACCAACGCATATGTCCTCGTGGCATTTGCGGCACTTCTGCGCTCGCGTCGAGTCAATCCTTAGACCCTCCATGGCGTTCTTCAAGTGTTCCACGTGCTGAACATTTTGTTGCGTCGCCTCGTTGACACCTCCGACGACGTTGTGCGGAAATACCTGGTTATGCAGCTGTTCTGAGTGTAGAACGGTCGGTTGCACGAGCGAACTGTTCAATTCGGCTTGCAGCGGATTAACGGGATACTGAGAGCCAATCTGCAAGGACGCACCCGACGCGGGAATAACGGCGTCCGCGGGCTTGCATCTGTTCGGCCACGGATCTGAAGCGTTCTCCGTTGCGGCTCCAGGGACGTCTGTCGTTAAAGATATATCTGAACGCGCGCCAAGAACATTATTCGGCACTTTGTAAGATAGCCAGCCATATTGTGGCTTCTGTTCGTTGAGATCAGCAGTTGGCGCAGTCGGTTGGATTACATGAGACAAGGGTTTGCACATTTTTCTCTCAGCTTCCAAAGGCGCGCCTATGGCGTTACCAGGCTCCGTTCTTTCCGCAAAGCTTCCCGTTGGATTTCTCATTGCAGCTATGATAGCCGTCCTCTCCGCGTCCTTGTTGACATTTGCGGAATTGTTACCTTCTTTGGGCACGCCGCCACGTGGATGCAACAAATCGCTTGTGTCCAACAATCGCGATGACTTAGGAGTGCTGTGCAGCACCGGATTCTCCACGGCGTTGTACTTGTCGGCGAGTTTCTCCCTTATGTACATCAATTCTTCCTCATCTAGGGTGCTCCCGATGATGTCGTTGGCGTGTATCGCACTAGGCGGCAGAAGCGCGTCGGCCAGCATGCACTCCGCGATGGAAGCCGCGTCGCTGTTCTGAGCCTCCGAGTGCGCGAGACTGTATGGCGTAACGTTGCTCAGTGTTTCTCTGTGCGCCTCCGTGTGCATCAACGCGCTTCTCGTTCCGTTCCCTCCGAACGGCACAAAATTTCCAGAAGTATGCATCTCACGAGGGGACACGATCTCTTGCTCGGCGAGACGTGAGGGAATCGAGGAGTTTATTATCTTGCCGCTTACACCGCCTCTTACTAATGCGGCGTCGTTCGTCTGCTGAAGATTCTCGTGGAACTTGCCCTCAACGGACTGTGATCTCGCGACGTTGCTGTTAACATTCGACATGTTCGCTAAGGAACAGTTATATTCTTCCGTATTAGACATTTTGTTGTCATTTATGACTGTAATATCTTGCTGCTTATTCTGACTCATGGATGGATGCTTCGCATACGGGCTCTTTACGGCGAAGCTACTCGGTGTGCGTAATTGAACGCCGGGGGAAGACACATAAGGTCTGTGTTGTGGACTGCAGCGTTGCATATCGGTTGCATTGATGGGTGTCATGAGAGAACGGTCGAACGGACGGGCACCTAGCATCTGAAAATATAAAACGTTGTGTTACATACTTGGCCATTAAAGTTGTCGCAATGGCGAAGATTTTATGTGCAATATACTCGTTTATTGCTTATGTATCTTTGTGGCAGAACTGCGAATAATTTAATTAATAACATAACTTTTTTATTTTATTTTAATTAACTTTTTTAATTAATTATCGTATTTAATCGACGATTAATATGAGTCAATTCAATTAGTGACTGTTGACAATTGATTTCAATAAATTAAATCGAAAACCATTCAATTGATATAAGCAAAGGGAATTAAATATCATTCAATTAATAATTAATCTTAACAAATTTAATCAAATTTGCTAAATTCAATTGTTTATAACGATTTTTTTCCCCTCCCTTATATCAATTATTAATTAGTTGAATTGAAACATTTATTCAAATCGATTATTAAATTGGGAAAAGCTTAATTGATATTTGTATAACTCTGCCTTATTACCTACCTTCATCACTTTGCCTTGCCCTGCATATTTCTTTATGTTCTCTAAATACTTCTCAAATTGCTTCTGCTCTTGTTCACTAAGTGCATCGCAAGCTTTATGATCAATATCGTGCAGTGGTAATTGTTTTTGTAACAGCTGCCTTCTCAGAGCAGCACCAGCTGATCCTTTAATCGGTAGTTTATCAGCAGGCAAGGCCTTCATATAATCCATAACCAGTTCCTTAGTCGTATCTGGTGGCACCCATTCAAATGTAGTTTCACCTTCATTTTGTTTTTTGTTGTTTACTTGCAGACCTGAATAACAAATTTTGCAATTAATCTAATCATTGCACATATAATTTTTTTATATCTATAATATAATTAATTTAATATATTAATAATTTTTATATCTATAATATAATTTATTTTTATGTAAGTATATAATTATATAGAGTGTATGTATGTAAATCATATAAAATAATAATTATATGGTACATATATAAGAAAGAATTATAGAGATCAAAAAATATAAAGTATTAGGGGCCAATAAAAAAATTTAATACAATTTTCAATCATTCCTTGGTAGTAAACCAGTTATCTACTACCATAAGAGTATATTAATACTGCCATTGATAAAGAGATGTAGATAATGATGGTAACTATTTGTTTGATAAATAATTCGTTTCCATTGAATAAAATAATATAAAATTAACTCGACAATCAAAAACTGAGAACTTTTAGACTGTTTTAAGAAAAATATATATTTATATACTGACGCATCGATTTATTCTTAAATTTTCCACTTGGTCCAAATAGCAGGTCAAACTGTGGGAACTCGTCGTTGTCGACATCGTGATCGTCCCGACCACATTTACAATTCTTACAGATCTTCCTCCAAAAGTGCAAATCAAGGCCGGGGCACGCAGAATTGCAGTTCATGCATGGTGCGCCAGCACCGGCTTCGTGCGCCAAACGCGGCTGGACAAATGTAAAAGACACGATTATAAAATATCATTTTAAACGCTGCACAGGCAATGTTGCTTGCTAACAACCGCGTTGCATTTGTATCATATGAAGAGCTTCGTGACGAACCTTTCGCTTACGATTTTCCAGCTCCAACAACCACTTAGGCCGATTCGCTATCTCTTCCTCCATCGTGCAGAGAATAAGGCACTCCTTGAAGTCGAAAAAGTATCACTTTAACACGACTTGTTCACACGCTTATCTTGTCATTCCATAAGTCGAACTTATCTCTCATGCGGTCACTTGACGTTTCAGACATGAGTGTGGATGAGTCATCGGAGCGATGCAGCCGCTATCTCACCAATACTTGGATTTCTCCCTTCTGTCACACTTTATCTCCTTAAGACACAGACGGCCCCATTCTTCGCTGCACTTTCAGCATGCACACAGTCTCACGTGTAGGTTGTGTGAAGCTGCTCTCCCCTCTTTGGTTTTCTTCTGGCCCTGCTACGCGGTGAGCAATGATCCGCACGCAGACAAGACATTTTAAAAGTCGTACGAAGGTGGGGATAACCGGCAGGCTTTGTGCTTGCTGAAGCGAATCTTGTACTGAACTGTGTTGTATTTTGTTTGGATAGAATTTTACGAAGCTTCTAACAAGATGACCAAATCGAGTCTCCTTTCATAAGTTTTGTCTGTATGATTTCCTGCAGATAAGTATTTGTCACACTGTACTTATTATTCATTAAAAGACTCTCTTTAGTCCAAGTTTCATGCATTTGTGTGAGAACTATGAAGGACTTATAGGAAATGCAATGAGAAGGATCCATAAGAAAAATAAGGTGCGTTCATAAATCAGCAAATTTCAAGGTGTGTGTGTGTGTGCAAAATATATTTTGAATAAAAATTAAAAAAAATATATATGTATATGTACAACAAAAATATTAATGAATTTTCATTCGCACATCTCATATATGGCTTGTGTGTTAATACACCTGCCACCTTCAGATTCCAAAAGCTGTATCAAACTCTTCCTGAGTGATCTGTAAGAAAATGCATAAACATAATATAAAGTAATAACAATGTAAGAGAAATATTGGATTTATGTAAGTAGTTTCAAATTTTTTTAAGTAAAATGAAACATGATTACACCTTTATGTCCTTATAATTTTATGAATACATATGAAGAATGGAAGAAGATTATAGATTAAACAATGCATAAGTGTCTCAGTAAGTGAACAATGTGCCAATGATAATATATTAATAATATATTTATACATTAATAATAACAATAAATTATAACATTAATATTTATATTCAATATTTCTGGAAAAGAATGCTTGAAATTTTATTGCAAGATATTCTTTTATACTAAAATTTATAATATTATTCAATCTCCTTCATCTCAGGTTTGTATCATTCAACAATTAGAATACAACCCATTTTTCAGCTTAAATAGCATTACATAATGTCTCATTAAAATTACAATTGCTATTTACTAATTATTTTATTTCCTATTATTTTTCAATCATTGACAAACCAAAGTTTTGTATACACGTTAATTTTATTAGTAATTCTATTAATTACTAAAAATGTAAAACTGATCTTTTTTAGTTCAGTCATTGGGACATTTATCTTGCTGTAATGTATTGTAAAATTACCTTATTGTATTGTAAAATTATAATGATAAAAAATATTATCCTTTTACTTTACTTGAAAAATTTGAAATTACTTATTACACAACCCGACATATCTTTGTGACTTAGAATGAATAATGTAAAAAAAAAACATGTGTTACCTTTTTCTTTTTAAGTTTTTTCATTAACGCTATATCTTTCGCTAGCTCCTCGAGATCTTCCTCGTTTATCCGTTTTCTCTTCTTTTTACCGGAGACTGTTGAGAGCTGTTGTTTCAGTTTCTTCTTCTCCTTCCGTTTACTTTGTTTCTCTTGCTTCTCGAGTTTTCTCTTTTTAGCCTCCGACCATGCTTCCGTTTGTTTCTGTCTATGCTTACGATTGCTCGGCCAAACGCCAGTGCTTTGATACTTTGTCAATTTTTCTATCCTGTGCGATTCACGTTGTTTATTCGCGTAGGCTATCGTGTTCACGTCGATTTTGGGCCCATTGAAGGACGACACATCTCTTCCTTTGAGCTCAGGCATCTTTGGCATTCTCAACAATCCGAAACCCATCGCCAGTTTTCCCAGATCGATGTCCTTTAATCGAAGAATCAAATTACACTCGTGTTTATTATACGCCTGTATATAAGAAACGAACGCGCGGTTCGCTTTGTCAAATATAAGTCGGTCCTTCTGTTGCAGATCCCTCATATATCTCAGGCTTTCTTCCACAGTGTTCTTGGTCGGTTCTTTCTCTATTCTGTGCAATTCTACCTTTTGATTTCTTTTGATGAAATCTACGTACGCGTCCTCGGTCTCTAAAAGAAATAGCAATGCATTCCCCTCATTGCCGATTCTAGCAGTTCTACCACATCTTTAAATGAAAAATTTACTTTATAAAACAATTGCTTAAAATATTAATGTACAGTATTACTTATACAGCATTGACTTATACGTAAAATAATATAGTTACCTGTGCACAAAACAGCTAGCTGTGGAGGGAGGATCGTACTGCAATACCCAATTTACTTCGGATATATCGATCCCACGAGCCATTACGTCTGTACATATTAAAATGCCGCTTTTGGCGTTCCGAAATTGATCGAACACTTTGTACCTCTTGCTCTTCATTTTACCATGTAGAGCTAATACATTTATCGATGGCAACAATCTACAAATTGTTTCTAAAGTAATAAGAGTCCAAACTTTAAATATATTTTACTCATTTGTAGTGATAAATGAATTCTTGAGCATGTAAACATAATAATAATAATCACACAAGGCGTGAATGTAATGCCTCCAAAATTGTTGAGTTTTAATTTTTCGAGTGACATCTGTTTATCACTACAATGAATAAAATTTCTTAAAATTCTTCATTCTTAAGATTTGGTTTCTTATACTTCAGGGATTACATATATTTGTATAAAAAAATAGAGAATCTAGGAATCATTGAATAAATTTCAAGTATTTGAAATACGCCTTACGTTTGTATGATTTGACTGAAGTAATCCACACATGCACAAGTGGACAAGAAAATCATATATTTTGTCTGAAATCCCTTTGAGCGTATAAAATCTATCATTATTGATAACTTGTATTCAGGTTGAACAATTATATAATTATTGTTCAAGTTCACAGGTGTCGAAACATTGGATTTCTCTTTTACAACAATTAAGGCTGGGTTTCTTAACCCTGCTCTAATCAATTGTTGCAATTCTTTTGTCTGTGTAGCTGAAAATAGTCCTGTTCTCCTGAGGCGTGGTAAATAACTCAATATGCTGTCTAAACTTGTAGAAAAACCTAAATCCAATAATCTATCTGCCTCATCTAACACAAGAAGTTCCTATAGAAATAAAAATACTTTTAATTCATAAGTTAAAAAATGCTATGAAGATCACTATAAAAAGATATCAATTACCAAAGATTTTACACATAAGTGTATAGATGTGCAATTAGATAGAATATCCTCTAATCTACCAGGTGTAGCAACAATGATGTTCACCCCTTTCTTCAATTTTTCAGCATCTTCCTGAAGTGTCACACCTCCAACCAGCAATACTTGTTTCAGTGATGGAATTCTTTTCAAGAACTCTCCCAAAATTTCACTAATCTGTGTAGCCAATTCTCTTGTTGGACTGATTACTATTGCGCCTACTTCCATAGTCTTCCATTTCTCTGGTCTTTTCTAATTTTACAAATTTTTAAAACATTTATTAGCAAAAGTAAAGCATTAGCATATTTATTAGCAAAAATAAAGATTTTTAAAAATACTGTTTATCTCTTATTTTCTTGGAACTTTAGTTAAAACAAACAACATCATAAGATTTATTATCCTAAATAGTTACCAAATAATGTCCACATAATTTTAAAGATTACCTGTAATATTTCCAACAAAGGGACAAGAAAAGCAAGTGTTTTTCCACTACCTGTAACTGCTTCTGCTGCTACATCCTTACCACTCAATAATAATGGTATACAGGCTGCCTGTGAATATAATTGACAAAATTATATGATAATTTGTATTATTATTCTTATTAAATAATCAAATAACTGACCTAATATTTTATCTTTTTCTCTTTTTTGAACATTATGAGTAAATTACCTGAACTGGTGTCATATTAACAAATTTTAATTTCTTGAGTGTCTTTAACACAGAATCGCTTAGTCGCACATCCAGTTCTTCCCATGCTTGCGTTTTCATGATTATTTTACACTATTATTATTATTTTTATTTAGTATAAATCAAAATAGTATTGAAGGATAGCAGGAGTACTTTCTCATTTAAAAATCGACTATATTTTAAGGTTATGTATTATCAGCGCGCATCACGTAACACATGAACATGATAAACAATAAGATTTTATTACTTTTGCACGTAGTATTCTAGTGTGCAGAATACACTATTCAATGAGATTTTAATAAAATAAATGTTAACAATTTTTATTCAAATTTATATCTATTTAAATTTTTCAACAATAGAAAAAAATGTATCTAATCAGCCGTCCATCTCTATTATTGGACTAATATTTGACTGACCCGCCGTAAAGAAATGTAAATCATTGGTTGCGTTCAGCAGAGAAAGCTGTTTTGCAACTGTGTAAAATTCATGAATCTGATTGGTACATGCTCTTGGATTTAACCAAAATTAAGAGCATACTCCAATCAGATTCACGAAATTTACATCAGTTGCAAAGCAGCTTTCTCTGCTGAACGCAGCCATTGGTTCAGTTTGATGACGTGCTATGTCATAAGTGATGTTACCGGAAACAGTCTGGCGGTATACTTTAAACATCTTGGGAGTATATAGCAAAGGAATATTAATCTTAAAAGAATAATAGAAAAATTGTATTTATATTTTGCTCATATTGGTGAAGGAAATAAAATTAGTTACTTGTAATAATTTTCTCTTCAATATATTTATGCACCTTTGTCTATTCGATTAATTGACAATATTACGTCATAACATTTACTTCGATTCCATAGTATCGATAATTGCATTTAGTTCACTTTTATTACGTCACGTCCTTTGCACTTCTAACAAAGGATTTTCTTTTTACGTTCCTTCCTGGTATTCTTTATTCAATGATTAGATTCCTAAATCTAGACCAATTACATTGGCTGCGTTCAGGGCTGCGTTCCAAAACTCTACTCAACGGGTATTTAATTGACCAATAAGAACAAAGATAACTAGGATTTCTTTATCATGATTGGTCAATTAAATGTACTTTATTCACCGAGTAGAATTTTAGAACACAGCCCAGAGAAAGCTGCCTTGCAACCGTTGTAAAATTCGTAAATCTGATTCATACATGCTCTTGGATTTAATCAAAATTAAGAGCATACTCCAATCAGATTCATGAATTTTACAACGTTGCAAAGCAGCTTTCTCTGCTAAACACAGACATTGACGAATTGGTCAACAGTTGCATAACAATAAACAATCAACTGCTTCACGCGATTAGTTTCACATATTTCACAAAATTGTTTCTTATTTATGAAATTTTTGTATACTAATTATAACAGTTTTCGAATCTTCTCAAATTCACCGATTGTAAAATCGATCGCATAAACAGCTGATCGATCATCAAACATATCAAGGCCTACCAACCTTATAACTCAAACTGCAGTTTCCGAATTAATTTCGGAACGTGCCCGAAGGCTTGCTGGTCCAATTGAAACAGCTGTTGAAGGCTGCGTCGCGATATGATTCGTCGGCACGACTGATGACATATTTTTCGCGATAGAAATCACCTTTGTGATCGACATTTCTCTACAGCGCACTTATGAATCGCCCAGCAAACACCAATACCACAGATTCTGTTCTGCGTTCCGATTCAAACTGGCTCACATAACCGGCTCTGTTTTGGCGCGAAGTTGCTGTATGGCAAGTAGTTTATGTAGAAGATCTCGACTAATATTTGAATCACCTCATCGTGCATATCGACGTAAGGTAGAATAATACAAGTTGTTGGTAAAACAACGATTATTCGGCGTGTATACATAAGAAATTGAGATATTGAGAAATTAGTGTCAAAAGTTACATTATGTTAATCTATATTGTGTAGACATACATGTCTAGTTTGATAATTGTCGACTCACTTTAGTCAAACTAAAATTCACATTTTATCAATTGCCATTTTGAACTGTAGCATATTTATTTTACTTCTTTGCGTTTTCCTAACCTGTAAATGATTATTTCTGTCATCAAGGCCAAATCCTTGTTGGATAAAAGTATAGTAGTTAGAACAAATGATGATGTATCTTTCATCCTTATCAATTTCTTTGTTTAGAGAAATGGAAGATTTATCAATGATTCAAGATGCACGTTTAAAAAAGTTTATGATAGATAGCAACGATGCTTTGGAATTTAGATTGATTCGTTGTATCGAGGACCTGGATTCTGAAGAAATTATATTCAAGCCTGAGATGTCCCATCAAGTGTTTGGTTCCATGTATGTTCTCGTGGCATTTATCTTGAATATGCATTTTTTTAAATGTAAATAGTTGGCTTAAGATATATATTTTATAAAAGAATGTAAGTTATCTTTTATCTGACTTATTTGTTACAGGGAAACGATATTTGGTTATCGTGATTTAAAGGTGCAGTTATTCTATGCAGCAGGTTGCTTGGAAACCTTCTTGGGGATGACCTATACAGAAAAAGCAAATGATCTCGATTTCGAGGGAGTTGAACCTGATAAAGTTTTAACAAAAATGGCTGAAAAACTTGCACCAAATGTTCACTACAGTTTAGATACTTTTGTTAATGCACTGAAGAAGGATGATACATTCAAACCTGAAGGAGAACTGCTGCATTCGTTCACAATAAATGGTATTTTCAATGTTCTTTAATACAGAATGCTAAATTATTTTTACTTCTATTCATGCAACAGTTACTTTAAATTGTAACCAAAATATATTAAGTTTTTCTCTTATTGTATCTACTATAGATAATGGCACGTCAAGACAATTTGAAGTTTACAAAGCTGACATAAACAGCAAAAAGTTTAAGGAGTATCATCAGAGGGTTCAAACATTTCTTCTTTGGTATATAGATGCAGCTAATTTCATCGATGTTGATGATGAACAGTGGAGTTATTTCAATATGTAAGTCTCGGTGTTTCCATTTCAACCAATGAACTGCATTGAATATGTATTAAACTTTTCCATTTTTATCAGGTTTGAAAAATATACTACATCTATGGGTGTATCCCGATACGGAACCGTTGGTTTCGTCACAGTGTATCGATATTACGCATATCCGGAACACATTCGGCCGCGCATCGCACAAGTTTTAATTCTACCGCCATTTCGACAGATGGGTCTTGGCACGCAGCTATTGCAAGCAATTTACCGCCAATACGTTGGAATGAATGAAGTTAAAGATATAACAGGTAATAGAAACAACAAGTCATGAAGTGATCCCGCACATTATATGTACACGTATGTGTTTACTTGTGCTTTTAACAAAATTGTACTTGCAGTTGAAGATCCGTCCGTGACGTTCCAACGAATACGAAATTACGTAGACGCCGTGAATTGCAGCACATTGCCTAGCTTTAAGCGGGAACATTTGATGCAAGGGTTCAACAATCAAATGGCCATTGAGGCTAGGGAAAAATTTAAGATAAATAAGGTATCTACGTTAGCATTTAGTTTGTCTATCGTCGCAATTCTCTCTATTTGTGTTATATCATAAATATTAATATTTAAGTGTAATTTATTCAAATGATATGAATAATATGATTTAATAATGTTATTAAATAGTATATGAAATATACTATTATAATAGCATATGAAAGGCCACTTTACACTAAAAAAATAGCAGTAACAATGTTAATAGCAAAGAACTAATAACAAAAATGTCTTTAGCAAAACTATGTTCTACAGAAAACAATTTATCAAATGTTTTTAACAGAATAACATATTTAGCAATATGAAAAACAGATTTGTTATCGATGAAGTTAGAGAAACTATTTATTGTCATTAAATTGCTAATAGAAATATAATTATTGTACCCAACAAAATTGTAAAACTTCTAGTAGTTAATGTTATTAGCAAATATGTGCTTTACATAAATTTCATAATTTTTATAGTACAGTCAGTTAAGATAAAACCTTTGTTATTTAACACTATTAATAATAACACATTAGTTAGCTAGCATATATCTCTTCAATTAACATTCTTTGATTTAGGCCCAGTTCCACAACCTCCAGTCAATTGGTTGATTATTCCATTAGACTTGACCAATCCCATTTGACATTAAGAAGAGTTAATCAGAATTAACCAATCACTATTGGGACTTAACCGGTAGTTAAAATTAAAGGGATGTTGTGGAACTTGACCTCAGACTGCCAAATGATGGGTTGCAGAAATAATATTTTTGACAATATTAGTGACAAAGCTATCAGTTACCAAAATAACAAACTTTTGTCAACAGCATTTGTTTTTCGCAAAATATTAAAACAAATGTTATTAAAATCTTTCGTTCCAAAATAACAAAATTAATAGCAAAATATAATTGACTTGTTTTGCAACTTGTTAAAAACAATTGTTTTTAGCAATTTTAAATAATAATCTATATCTGTCAGTAACACTGCTAGAAACACATTATTAGTAATGTTACTGTTGGTATAAATTGGCTTTTATGGTAAATGTTATTACTTAAATATGTCATTGTAATGTAAATGTTTCTTTTGTAGAAACAAGCTCGCACAGTGTATGAAATCTTGCGATTACGTGCAACGAACATCGCGAACGAAGAGGAATACCGAGCATATAGATTAGACGTGAAGGGAAGATTGAATATACCGTATAAAAGGAAAGAGAACGAGGAAAAGAAATTAGAACGCGCATTGATGTACGTGGATAAGCGTGCTAACCCTCTGCCACCTTTGGAGCAACGTATACAGTTACTCGATAAAGAATATCGATTTTTAGAAGAAGAATACAAGAGAGTTATTCAACGTTTAGAGGATGCACCCGAACTATGAAAAAATGTTGCATGAACTTTATCCGATATTAACCGATCAAGACATTTTTTTTATGTGGAAAAAATATATTAATAATTTACTATTATTTATATCGGTGTGTACACATTTTTCTTTCAACTGGCGTGTCTTGCTTTTTTCTCGAAATGATCTCTGACGTTCCGCTGTTTCTTTCACGTTCTCGCTTCGACGGACAGCCGAGTTTGCGGCGATCGGCTGCGTGTCGTTTTACAATCTATCAAAATGGATAAATAACCACTGACACGTTACACTCTTCAAAATTCCTAGTACAAGATTCGTCGCATTGCAACTGGAAAACAGATTGTCACGCGTCTTAGTGATCTTTTTGTCGCGACAACACAAAAATGGCAAATTCAATGGTGTTCTCGAGTTATACGTTAATCCACGATTCCCAGCCACTCAAAGCGTCGCAAAACTATCACCAGTCATAAATTATGATAACTACTGATAGAATGCCGTGTGTCACTCTACGAAGCTCATGTCGCGCCTGAACCAGACACCGTCCGACGAGGCCACATTGAAAGCCCGCGGTTACAAGTTGGTGAGAAAGCTCGGCGAAGGTTGTCACGCGAAGGTCTATATCCCGATTAAAGAATCACACACTTCCCCTCATCCGATTAAGTTTGACAATATGAGTTATTTCTTGCTCCTTTTTTCGTTTAGGTATACCTGGCCGAGTACAAACCGGAGCACGAGACAGATCACAATAACACCTTAGCCTGCAAGATCGTCGATACCACGAGCGCACCGAAGGACTTCGTCAAGAAGTTCCTGCCGCGCGAACTGGATATCCTGGTGAAGTTGAATCATCCGCATGTCGTGCACGTGCATAGCATCTTCCAGAGGCGCACCAAGTACTTCATATTCATGCGCTTCGCCGAAAACGGCGATCTCTTTGACTTCATGCTAAAGAACGGCGCGGTGGCGGAGAATCAGGCCCGCGTGTGGTTCCGACAGCTTGCTTTAGGTATTAATCGTATTATATTTACTTTAATTACTATTATTAGGTTGATGCAAAAGGTTTACCGCAAAATAGGAAACAAAATTATCCACGTTCCAAGAATTAATCGTTTTGATGAATGAAATTTACCACATCAACTTAGTATTCTTTTAAAAAATTTTCTATTCCTTTAATGTTAAATAATTTAATATCTAATACAAATATTAAATTAGTATAACTTTTTTTAATGTAAATATTGAATTATTTAATATTAAGAGAAAAATAGGAAGTCCTCATTAGTACTTCTAGATCTATATTAATAGCTGTTTCTTGAAACTTGCTTCAAGTGAGATTTCCAGATTGGAATTTAGAATTAGATGTGAATTTTTTAGTGGAATAGCGACTACAAATATAACGTTACATTATCACATGATTTACATGACAAATTTAGATCTAATTCTGAATTCAAAACCTAAAGTCTGTATTAATCGTTGTTACTTGAAACTTGACCTATGTGAAGTACTGAGACTTAAATTTAGAATTAGAAATTTTTTTTTTATTTGAACTACATATGTGATATTACTAACTATAACAATACTAATGCGAATTTAATTTTTTAAGGTCTTCAGTATTTGCACGAGATGGAGATAGCGCACCGCGACGTAAAGTGCGAGAATGTCCTCTTAACATCTAACTACAACGTGAAACTGGCGGACTTCGGATTCGCCCGCTACATGGTTGACAGTCGCGGTAAACGTGTTCTCAGCGACACGTATTGCGGCTCGTTGTCTTACGTAGCCCCGGAGATCCTGCGCGGCTTTCCGTACAACCCGAAGATATCCGACATCTGGTCCCTGGGTGTGATCTTGTACATATTGTTGAACAAGGCGATGCCCTTCGACGAGGCCAACATTAAGCGACTGTACGAGCAGCAGATAGCGCGCAGATGGAAGTTCCGCAGCAAAGTGATGAACAGTCTGACCGATCACGTGAAGAAGCTCGTGAGCAATCTGCTGGAGCCGGAAGTGTCGAAACGCTTGCGTCTGGATCAGATCGTGCAGAGCGACTGGATCGCGATGGATCCGCGTTTACTGGTGCTCACGCCCGCAGAGCAGATCGCGTTGAACAGTGCAGTCGAGGAGCGGAAAAAGTACGAGAAGAAGTTCACAAAGAGGGATTCTATGCAAATGCAGAGCCTCGTACGATCGTTATTCTTCAACGTTCATAAGTTGAGGTGTTTTTTTCTGTCGTTTCTCTCATACACCACGCTGAGCAGAACATTTCTGGTCGTCCATTTGGTGTACACGCACGTGTTATCGTATATCCGATCGCAGGATCCAGATCAAACTTCACAATGATAACGATGTCTAATGTGCCAAATTTTACAAATATATATAATTAAAGAGAGCACAGGCAACAAGTAGTGTCGCGAGATCACGAGTGACCGATTTTCAGAAACAGTTCAGAGTCGAGGAAAAGAAAAAGACCGACGAAGACAAACCGCATGGGGTAGAAGACGTGACGGTTCTCAAAGACACCGTGAAAGTACGTTATTGGAATTAATCACATATTGAGGTAATGTAAAAGAAAAGGAGAAAAGAGATAGCAAAACCTTTTGTCTTGTCTTCAGGCGGTAACCTCCACGATTACGGCAGGCGGAACTCAATTCCAAAATCTCAACACGTAACTGCAATCTGTAATCCGCTTCCCTGCATTTTTACTTAACACTTGTGAAAATAAATTGTCTGGTGAACTATGACGATTAATGTTACGCACGTCGTACACACATTCGACACATTTGATGCATTGCAAATCAATATATATATATTTTTTTAAGAAACTAACGTGTGAATATAAACGGACATATTTACAAAGAATGCAGAGATTTGCTAGATTTAAAATAAACTTACTCCTAGGAATTATCAAATTAAATTAATTATTTTACACATTTCAATTACCTATGTACCGCGCTTTCAGGATAGCTGTGCTATTTTTCTTCGTTATCTTTATATAGTAATCAGCGCCGAGAGTGAAAGCTTTTATCTTTCCGTGCAAGGGTAGTTTGCATATATGTTCAGGATAGAAGACTCCTCCAAGATTCCACACACCGTCCGACAGTATGAGTAAATGTTGATTATTCGGCGTCTTGCTGGTCACGATCGTATCCGAAGCTGGTAAGACGTATTGCTTGAATTCATTCCACGCTTGATAACGCAGCACCAGAGTTTGTCTCGGCAATCGTAGAGCGATCCAAAGCGCGAGATCGGTTGGCTCCACGGACGCTTGGAGTATATCGGGCATATGTAATTCTGTCAATCGATAGTTTATATCGTCATAATTTTGTTTCACTGCTTTTAACGTATGAACAATATTGAATACGTTTGCACCAGGATTGTAGTAAGCAGAGTAATTAATTACTTTCTTAATTAATTGTCATGTTTAATTGACGATTAATACTCAATTCAATCGAATATTAATTGTCAATTCAATTGAAGACCGTTTAATTAACAATTGTTTCACTGCTTTTAACGTATGAACAATATTGAGTACGTTTGCACCAGGATTGTAGTAAGCACAGTAATTAATTACTTTTTTAATTAATTGTCATGTTTAATTGACGATTAATACTTAATTCAATCAAATATTAATTGTTAATTCAATTGAAGACCGTTTAATTGACAATTGATTTCAACAAATTCAATTGAAAACCATATAAAAAATATTTAGGTTTAAAGCACAATTATGATTCATTAAAAATAAAGACACCGAATTAATTTGCACACCTAATACAACTCTGGTTATAATAACTAAACATACAATACTAGGCGGTTGCATGTATGCAAAAATACGTTCGCTTTGGACACTTTCGCGCTGATAGTGTCATTCTATTCTTTTGTTCCTTTATTACATGCCAAAAGAAGATAGAATACTACTTGCAGCACGAAAGCGTCCAAAACGCAGCTAATAGTTGCAACATCGAGATGTATTAAATCGGTTTTAGGTTCCTGCGGAAACGTGATTATTCATTCGCGGCACTTGCCTGCTCTTTGATGAAAATCTTGTTCCGCAACGGCGTACGTATAAACGGAGATAAAGTCCGATGATACTATTACTACAAACACATCGTCATCCAGCAATACCAATCTCGTCATTATAAACGTGCTGGAATTTTTGCCGGCAAGGATATTCAGTAATTTCGTGTCGTTGCAAAATCGGGAGAGATTTTTCATCTCGCAGACGCATGTGCTATTAAGAGTCATCGCATCCTCGATATCAGGATCCGCAGTGATCTCCAGCGTATTCTCATCTACCTCTTCGAATTTATCCAGATAAACTGCAGGATCTGCGCACAGAAAAGATAAAAAATATTTTGATAAATTAGTATTATATCATTATTTGAAGCACTCAATAATCAAAATGGTAACTCACTATGTAATCCGATTATTATGTTGTCTGCTAGTTCTATAACTTCTACCGTTCTGTTCAGAACAGCATCCAACTTGCTGTTATCACTAATATTACTCAAATTTACGCCCTCGTAAAGTCCACCGATTGTGATGTTTCCGACAACTTCAAGATTCTCGCTGAAATCTATCTCCGTTTCTATTCTTTGTACTAATTCGTGATTCTTTAATTGATCGTTCATTAAGTGCATCAGAAGTATATCATTCACAACATTGTCAGTGATAAGAGACAATATCTCCAGGTTACCGTGTATCTTCTTGTTCCCGAATATCATCTGATTTCCAGATTTCAGCAATGCTTGTTCGATAATGTGTCCCATAAGCTTACCTTTAACACTGACGAAGAAAAGTTGAGTTTAACAATGTTGACGATTCAAGTATTGATTCGAGAAAATGTCGATATTACCTTAATTTGTTCAAGCTAATGTCTTTAAAAGTTTTTTGACCTTTGATTTTGGTTACACTCAGACATTTTTCAGTTAGAGCATATTTCACAAATTTCGAGAATTTATTGTTATACGACCAGAGATATTCAGTTGATAAGTTTGAAATCGTCTTCTTCCCACTAATAATATTCTGCTCTCTGTCAGACCTAACGATTTCTGTGTTCAAGTCAATATCATTGAATTTGCCATTCCAATACAAATTATCTGAAAATCAAGCAATTGATCTTAAGTTACACTGAAGATTTTCTACTAAAAGGAATGTATCGTATATTTGAAATCGCCTCACTTATAACTAATTCTTCAAAGTTCCATGTGGCATCTACGATCTGTGCTTTCGTACTGTTTCTCATCAAAGAATTAGTTAGCACATTACTTAAATCAGGATCTGACGTTTTGAGAGTAGAATCATCCGCTGCAATTATAGCAGGCACCACGATGTTTTTAAACGATGCAGCCACACTGATATTTTGTCGCTTCGATTTGCTCAATACTTTACTTGACAGATTTGACCATACGTTTATATTCAACGAATTTGCAGCATTCTGAGGCAGAACAATAATTCCAATCGTGGTTGGTACAATTGTGAAGTTAATCGATTCTTAACAGTATCCTTACCTTTATAAAAACTTTCGCTTTTATAGACATATTCCTCAGATACATATTGCTGCCAGATATAATTGTATTCCGATCCGACATCCATAAGTTTTCGGATAATTCTTCAAGATTCACATTCTTTATATTTTGCACAATTGGTTCTTTTCCAAATCTAGCTGTTCCTAAAATAAGCATACATATCATGTTTAAACGATACGTCGTCATCGTAAGAAATGTAGTTAACGGATTTCGTTATTGCATACCCTCGATAATAAATGTCGGCGATCCATTGTTCGCAACGTAGCCAAAAATCTGAGGCACATTTATTGCATTCGTCTTCAAAGTGCTGGAAATCCATTTTGAGCGCAAATTAGGATGTACATCTATATGGGAGATATTTAACGTTGAGTAAGAAGCATATGTGTAGATGGACGTGAACCCATGAGCTGCAAAACAAAATGGAGAAATAATATAATTAGATTTTTTATCTTTATGAATTGCGTACGAAAGTATAAGATACAAGACTCACCGAATATTGCGTGTTCTAAAGATATTTTGTCGTCCACTTTCTGTACATTCTCGACGAACAATGACATATTTATGTCATTGATCTTTCTAATATTACTGTTCCCAAGCATAATTACGTTATTTACTGTCGTAGGTAAGGAAAGACTGATCGGGGTGTGTAGAGTTTTAACATGTAACTTTGGAACAGTTACTGGTCCTTTGATGTGATCCACATCTATCCACTTGTTCACTTGGCTCTTCAACTCTATACAATGTAAATTATGAGCGTAATATCATGAAAACTTTTACTTGTATGTATGCGCACACTTTATCTTTACCTCTTATATTTATTCCTTTAACTTCCGACACTGAAATATTCTTCACGAAGACTTGCCCGGTGAATAATTTCGTTGAGAAGTTAACATTTTGTAAGGCTGACACCGAATCGAACATAACGCTGTTCAAATCACGAGCTCCAGTAACATTCTGAACGTATAAATGTTTCACAACTAAATCGTCCACCATTATTGAAGAACTCGTGACGTCTTGTGTGAAAATTTGTACAACGCATACGGGAACGGTCAATCTGAAACAGATATATTTTTATAGAATCTATACTATGTGTGTATGATCGAGTTTTTTAATTCATTGATGGATCCATCGCATGATGCGCAAATGCAATGTTTCGCTGTATTTACGCATCATGCAATGGATCCATCGATGAATTAAAAAACTCGCCTTATATATACAGTGAGTTTCAAAATGGTCGAGACACAATTAAGTTGGGAGCTCACTAAACTGTAAAAATTGGGAGCCATTACTGACGGACTTGCCCGATCTCATTGTATTATTAAATATTATTAATATTATTATTATTTAGTATTCTTAATTACACTATTAATTATGTTATTATTGCGTAAGGAGCCTTAAACCGTTGTGAAACCCACTGCACATACATCTTTCTTAGAGAAATGAGACGCACGTACCTCGGAATAGGAAGATTTTCATAGGAGGTGTTTGTCAAAACGATATTGTTGATTGCAAATTTGGCACCAGAGATAACTACGGTATCGGTCGAATTCTTCGTTACCCAGTTTCGATAGTCCAATATGGTCACATTGTCCCATTGCTGTAAAGTGAAAGTAAATTTCAAGTATAATGCATACTTATAATCGCGATATCTTCGCAAGAATAATTACAATTTTATCGCTGAATAACATCACATGTTTCGGCACGTCAGAGTTCAGCGGTATGCTATTTTCTAAAATCTGCTTCAAGGATGATTTACGAGTGCTGACGATGTCGTCAGCTCTGACGAAATTTCTGAACGTCACGTTTTGCAGGAAAAGGTCGTAAGGTAGTATCAAAGTTGTGTAAATATCTTTCAAGAGTGTCAACTTATTCGCATTTTCGCCTGTTATTTTGCCTCTCATCTCGATAAGCCCTACGACTTTGACTTTCGTAGCCGTTATCGAGCCGGTTATTGTGGTTGTGGAACCATTCAATGGCAAGAAGAACTCGTCTTGGACTAAATTCAATTCTTCTACTGTTGCCTCATTTATTCGCAATATTGCACTAGTATTATGCGTCGCAATATTCAATGGGATAGAAATGCTTGTCGTGTTCAAGTTATTGAAGAAGTGTTCACCTAAATGATTCATAGATCAAAAATAATTAACATACAAATATTTGAAGGAAAGAGGAGCGATATGCTACGTCGACTCACCTGAGACTTCCTGGTCTCCAGAAATCTTCAATGTTCCTTCTTGGAGATTTTTTATCAACATCCCATTAACAGACTCCTTAACAAATATATCGTCTATGGCGAAATTAGGAATGGGACACCTCCAGTTATTTATCACTTTTGCTTTTAGATTGGCAAATTTTAAAGTGTGATTAGCGGTTTCCAATTTTCCGGACTTGTTGATAGATTTATTTCCAACATCTGTACTTAGACGATGAACGTGACAATTTGCCTTGCATTGCACTGTGAGTTTTTTACCATGCAAAGTCGTACGCATGGTGCTTGTGTCTTGCGTTAAGATCTGCTTCGCCAGAATTAACTTGGACATTGTTTTCCTGTACTGTTTCGTCAAGTGGATCAATTCTGTTGCATTATGGTCGTTTATCTGTAAACAACACTCGAAATAGATTTAACAATACTTGAATGGTTTATAACAAACAGATGAAAATCTTTGCTTAAAATATTAAAAAAGTCAGGATTGGTTAAGTGAATTTTCTTTTTTTAAACAAATTTAAATTTAAAATTAATAGTCTTTAAATTAATTTAGTTTACGTTAAAAGTTATATATATACACATAAATAAAAACTAATACTCAGTTAAAAATCATGTTAACATTAAATTAACTTATTAAAGTAAGTTAATTATGCAAAGCAATATGTATGTTTCTGTGTGCATAATTAACTTTTTAATCTAAAATTGAATTATTAATGAGAAAAGATAGCCTTTTATAAAAAGAAATACCGAATGTTTTGTGCTCAGGATTCCATACAAAAAAAGGACGCTGTCACTCAGAGGGACAAAAAATTATTGTCATTATTTTCTATTTTTTCACCCTGTTAGCAGCACTCAATGATTTAAATATTGATGATTTATCTTAACTTTAAAAAATTATAAAAATTTATAAATTAAAATTAATATACCTTAAAATAACTAGTCTAAACTCACAATAATTTTAATATTAATCAAATATTTTAATTTACATAAAAGAAGTTAACAAGTTAAAGCTAACACATTTTGGAACAACTAATTTAATTTAAACGTTGGCTAATTTAAAACTAAATTTATTAACTAAATCAAGTTGAAAGTTATTAACTTTTTAACGTTTTAACTTAACTTTTAACTGATGAATTAGTTATTAATATTTCTACCAGGGCTACTCAACTCTGGTAGAAACAAAAGCCGTATCTTACGTGCTGAGTGCGAAGCTGACCAACGTGTGCGTTCGGTATTTTCACGGGACTTTTTAAGTCTAGATTTTTTTCCAAACTTCTCTGAGACGCTTTCTGCTTAACATCAGAACACCAAGCCTCTACTTCGTTCTGTAAGGCTTGCCATGTCTTCCTCGCGGTCCAAATAGGCCTCAAAAACTTCCATTCTCCAGCCTGACTTTGCATCACCAACGTGTTCCCGTCATGTGAACGAATCTGGCGAATCTGACGAATGTTCAACAATCTCGCGTGCAGCTCTACGAACTTCCAACCATTGTATTGGTAAATTACTGCGCTATTTGCCTCCGTCGCGGCAAGAAGAAGCACGATATTCTCTATCGTAAAGGAATAGATATGTCTCGCCGAAGCGATTCTTTGAAACGGCACGAAACGACTGTACATTTCTTTATACAAAATCGTAGAATTATCATCTACCAGGGCTAAGAAATGCTCCTCGAAGTGGTTTTCTTTGAAGTAAAACAGATTGGCGTCTCGGGCGCCGTGCAATTTCTGCGTCTCTATGAATTTATTGGAGCGCACGGAGAATCGGAATATCCTCGTGAGGGATCCTACAACGACGACGTGCACGAAGCTCTTGTGTCCGAAGAACAACAATTCTCTCGCCCCGTAGTCCAAGGTGTCTATCTGATCGAAGTGTTCCCCGAGCCAGACGTACAAGAAGACCTTCGCGTCTGAAGCGATGCCTAGGTACAATTGATTCATCCCGAACCATAAGTTTGCGTGCACCACTCCGGAAATATTGAACTCCTGTTTGAACTGAAACTCGTAAGTGTCATCCTTGTTCTTATTGAGACGTAGAATGATGATTTCGTCGGTATTCGTTTGAACGACCGTAAGTATGTCGGCACCTTGATCATTTATTATTATCCGTTTTCCATTAGGCTGTGAGTAGAAACTCAAAGGAAACACTGTCCTAGAATTCGATGAAGTATTGTCCTAAAAGGAATAAAAAGAGAAAGAGAACTTTGATTGTAATAAAAATTCTTGCAAAATACATTGAAATAAAAAGATATACCCATAAAATGACATTTGCAATCGATTGAGTAAACCTGTAAAATAATCTGAACGCTTTCCTTTTGCTCTAACAATTATATATAATATTACTAATATTATAATTATATTATAATTACTCTAATATAATTATTCTAATTATCGTATAAAAATTATCGTAAAATTAACGTGACATGCAACCTATTTCTCTGACATACATTATTCATTTTGTCACGTTAATTTTACGGTAATTTTACGGATTGTTAGAGCAAAAGAAAAGTGCTCAAGCTATCTAACACATCTGCTTAATCAATTGCTAGTATGATTTTACGAACACATCTTTTTATTTTTATATATCTTGTAAACATTTTTATAGTGTATTTTCTCGTTTCTGTTTATAATCTATTGATAGTTTTGCGATAAGAAGCCAAGAACTTTAATTATGACATACAAACAATTGATATAGCGTTATTTTCGAGGAGTCGATGGCTGCTGCGAGCCAAAGCAACTGGTGTTCATCTTGTATAAGGACAAAAGCTATATCCTGAAAGTCTGGTAGATAAATGGGTGAATCCTCTTCAAAATTTTGCAGCACGTTTATCTCTGTTAATAAAAAGAAAATTAAGATTTAGAGTTGCAAATTAAATTATTCTAATTTTATTACAAAACATTTGTTATAAAATTTTGAACATTGATATCATTAATGTACATGGATTTTCTTTTAGGAAAATACCCAAAATTTTTTATGTTCGCACACGTATATAAGAAAGTTTTAAAAATAATTAATATAATTATATAATATAATTAAGTTTTAAATATAATTAATATAATTATAAAACATATAATTTTGATAAATATATTATAATTATTATATCATACATGTGCCGAGAGAACTGGAAAAAAAACAAAGAAATATTCTGCGGTGCAATGTTCTAATTTCAAAATGCAATTGAAGAGAGGAACAGGACTGCCTATTGATAGTAAATAATATTGATATCAGCTGATTCTGTGATAACCTCAAAATGAATGTCGTTTAATCGATAGCGGTGTTTTACATTATCGTTTTATTTCTGCCGACCTGAGCATCGTACTGTGCGTGTATACGACAACATAACATCGTTTATTATTTCGTCGCATGTTTCAGCGTTTAGAACATGTCCACTTCAGAGGAGGTGATGGAAAATCTGACAGCGCAAGTGAACGAGCTGCAGGCTCTACAGTCGGTCTATCCGACGGAACTTGTAGTGGCGGATTATGGGGTTTTGGCTGACATCAACAGCTACATCGAGTGTCCTGGTGGAGATCTACCACGCTGGCTAGAATACGCTATCGCGATCCCATTGAATGGAGTAATGCAACATTTAATGTTCCATATAAAAGTGTACATTATGTCTATAGCATGTGTTTATTAACACGATAATCCTGCTGGGTTTCTTTTGTACATTCGTGTGCTCAACATATTTTCCTTATTTTAACAGAAACTGATAGAGTTAATGGTGAGTTTGCCAACTAACTATCCCCAGGAGCAGCCTGAGGTGTACGCAAGAAGTTCTCAACTGGACAGAACGCAGCAGTGCCTATTGAACAAGGAGCTTTCTATTGTCATCAAAACCCAGGAGACAGGAGAGCCATGCATCTACACACTGATATCATGGCTACAGGATAATGTGGAAACTTATCTAAAAGCTTCCACATGTAATCAAACAATGAAGTGTAATGATGCAAATGAAAATAACACCAGAGATCAAGCTGCTGTCTTCTCTCGATATTGGATTTACAGTCACCACATATATAGCAAGTTCAAGCGACGAGATGTAGCCAATCTGGCAAAAGAAAACTCAATCACAGGGTTCTGCTTAGCTGGCAAGCCAGGAATCATTTGCATTGAGGGAACTCTGGAAGATTGTGACTATTGCTGGCAAAAAGTAACATTTTTTATAGTCTTTCGGTAATTTTTTTTGATGATATTTTTCAGTTTTATTTTATTATCCTGTGCTTTGCAGATCAGATCTATGAACTGGCACAAGATATTGATCAAACTGCTGGAAAAAGAGGAAGATTGCAACAATGTGGAGAGCTTACGCAGGTTTACAGATTTTCAAGAGGTCTCTTTCCCCACTACTGAGCGCCATAATGACATGGGTCAACTTCTCAAGTATCTAACTGAGCATGACTGTCAGCACGCATTCAAAGAACTTTTCGGTATCGAAGGAAAGTTCAGCAAACTGTCAGATTAACATAATTGTATGATAAAAATGTTGATGAAAATATATAATATGGTAAATATATTTTTTTATATAATAATAAATTGAGTAAACTCGGAGAATCTTTGCATGTATGTGTCTAAGTCATGTATTAATAGTTGTGTGTGTCATCTGAAACTAATTTCCTATGAGATAGTAAAGTTTCTATTCAGAGTTTGATTCAAGTTTTCATAGTTGGATTATATGTGATATTTATATATTTGTGTATAATCGCGATTCCACTGAAGAACTTTCATCTAATTCTGAATTCAAATTTGAATATCATATATTTGAGACGAGTTTCAAACTATTACTACAGACCTAAGACTTTTCGCTTGAACTCACCTTCACTAAATTGTAAATTATTCGAGGTTCTCCTTTGTCGCTGTAGGATTGCTTTGGTTGTAGTTTCCATATATTTAGCAATTTTGTCGTCGATATTTGATGTATCAGCATTTGATGATTCATATGCTATAAAAGTACCGAAAGCTTTGTAAATAAATGGAGGTATTTCAAAGAAAACACAAGGATACAGTTGATAATACCATTGTTGAGATTCTTAAAGTATTCCGACGTTCGATCAAGTACTGCATACAAATTCTCGACCGAATAATGAGAATAACGTTTGCACTTTGTCACGCATATTAACATGAAAATTAGAAGGAGCTTTCTTAACATATTCACGCCAAATTCACTCAATCTACTGATTCAAAGAATCAACACAGAGTTGGTTCTAAATGGATCGTGTTTATGGTTTTTCTATACATGCGAGTGGTTCATACATATTCTGTCGGTAAGTATGTTTAAATACTAATTCAGATCTTGTTATGTTTGTGCAAGTTTTGAAACTCCTCATCTATAGCGTCTTTCATAAATATAGAGATCAGTTTATCTTCAACAGTTACATTCAAGGACAAAATGAACCATTTCCGAGTTACAGGCAACTGAAAATGAAAGAGTACAATCTTGCTCAGTCGATTCTCGCCCAATAAAAATTTTATTAATCAATGAGCTTATAATTTATAAACCTTATCTAATAGTGGCGTAGCGTAAGAAATCATTGGTGAGAAATTGTCCAGGAATATAAGGTGCTGGTGGACCGAGGATATCTTGAGCAGGACTGTGCACCTTGATCTGCCTCATATGAGTATCTCTGCCATTTTGATGATTACTAATAACTGCTATCTGTATCATAAATGTCCTAATCGGGCGGTCATTGATGTTTTTAATGGGAATTACTACCCAACCACTTGGCTCATTCAAATCCATTACTTCTACTTCTTGAAGGTCGTTGAAGTTAGTGCCAGCTCTGATACTTATTCTGAAAATTGATCAGAATATTAATGAATATTGTCACTGACAATAACGTGTCTCAGTTCAATACGAAATACCTATTGGGAGTATAACTCTCATCCAGCTTGTAATCTGTATAGATACATATGTCACGGATAGTGGTCTTTCTCTTAAACTGTATATTGACTAAATGTGGCAATTGTCCATCCGACTGCCAATACGTTTCTGTAATATCATCGCGCAGCTGATCCACTCCAAACCCTGGTTTACAGCTGGACAGACTCCAGATCGCATAATTTCCAACTTCTCGTACTCTGCCAGCCAATTGTTCCTGTACGGGATCTATTTCACCTGAGGGATAAGACCTCAATCATAAATCTTACAAAATGCAATTCTTCAATAGAAATTAATCAGATTGTAAAAAATAAAAAATATTAAAGAAGTTGCAGTACATTTACCACTGCCGTTAGCCTTGTTGCTCATGGTTAGGTTAGGTTATGTTTGCTCAGGCATTGAGTCGTCTCGGCTTCTGAAGAGATTCTTCTAAGCCGGAATCAGACTATTATTTGACCAATTGGAACAAAGCAAGCCAAAATCGAAGTTCGTTGATTCGTCGAAATTTAATCTTCAATGCGTAGTCTGATTCCGATTTTAAAACCTGTAGTTTAATTAACTCCACCAACTCCTAAAAAAATCATGCAACAGATTACATGATTTTCTAAAAAATTGCAATAACCATTTCTAACTCCCAGCGATTTTCGATGTTTCCACTCTCTCTCAATAAATGGCTTCAGACTTCATGTCTTATGCCCCAACGCCATTCCTCCGGTAAAGAATTTGGCCAAGCTTGTCATCCTCGATTAAAGAGATTGACTGGTGGCTTTAAGAAAGTAGATGATATCCTTGAAGATAGTAATGTTTTTTAATAGAAATACCTCCTTAATTAAGTTGTCTCAACGATATATATACATAGACTAAGCATTCCTAGCGTTTACTATAGCAACGAGTGAAGCTAGAAGTTGACAGTTTTGAGACAGAGAGAGAAAGTTGATTTGCGTCTCTTTGCATCTACTGTTCTCTCACTCTTGGCTTATATGACAGAGCGAGAGCCCATCATAGTAACCTAACCTAACTTTTTCGCTGTAAACAATGAAGAAAAGAGATAAAACATTATGGTGTTCTGCTGTATTTGCGGCGTACGTTTGAGACATCAGTCGGACGGAATCCGATTTCATAGGTACAGAAACATACCATTAATATATTATAACGTGAGCAAAGTGAAATGTTAAATATATTATTACTATAGTATAAAATATTATATCAATATAGCATACTATATATATATTTTTTGTATCATAAAAAATATTGTTTTGTATAATACAATTGCTTAAAAACACAAGTTTCTAGAAATTTGGATAATATATTTACAACAGGACTGTGTATAATTTTAGATTACCAAAGAATACAATAAAAAGAAAACAATGGCTGACAGTGATCGAAGAGAAAATAAAACAATTTTCATATACCGAAAATTCGGTTATATGCAGCCAACATTTTGCAAAAGAGTGCTATGTCATAACAGGTTGTGGTAAATTCTATTTAAAATCAGGCACAATACCAACTATATTTGATATGCCATTAAGAAATGGATGTAACAGCATCCAAATGGTATGTAGTATGTATTATTTAATTTTAATATTTAATAACTTTGTTAGGAGAGCATATAGTTACAAGGAAATATATATTTATGAAATACAGTCAAATGTTATGTCACAATTAAGGAACAGCAGCTGCAGCAGCAATATATATGTGATACAGATGAAGATATTAAAGAAGAATTATGTGAGAAGAGTATTAATGAACAATATTCAGAATTTGTGGAACAAGTTTTACCAGGGACAAATATGCAGCTGGATGCGAAGAACATGAATGTAGAAGAAACACATGAATCTATTCCAAAAGTACAACGAATGACGAAGTTTGGTTCCATTGACAGGTAACAATATAAAAAGACAAATTAGTTTTTAACTATGTTTTTTGCTCACTTAAAAATCATATATATACATTTGAATATTTGTCTCATAGTACAAATTTGGATATATGCAATTCATACAAAGATCCATTATACCATTTGAAAATAAAGGAAAAAGAAATAAAAAGGTTGAAAAGTAAATTAAAATTGTATCAGCAAAAATGTAGAAGATTGAACAAAAAAGTACTATCATTGAAGTCGCTTATTAAGCATTTAGAAAATAAGAAATTATCTGAGGACACTATTGAGTTGTTACAAGTAAGCACTGGTTGACAGATAAATGCTTAATACATGTGGTACAAACAATATAACAGTATTCACAGCAGTATAGTATGTATAGCACAGGAAATAAAATGCACTTTGTCAAGAAAGCACGTGTTCATGTTATTAATATCGAAATGCATGTAATAGTCTAACATTTCACAACCGAAAGAGAAATATTAAGAAAGCAACTTGAAAAAAGGAACATTTTTGGACACAACAAAAATGTTGTTGCAGCAACGTTAATTATGTTTAAAAACAAAACTCGTCATGAAGCGCCATCGAGATATCGAACAAATTGAAATTTTCTTGTAATCGATCATAACTTCGATCATAGATAAATTTAAAACTCAATTTTTTTAAACCCACGAATATATAGGATGTACTAATAATTCAATAATTTGCACATACAAGACGAAGATTTACCAGAGTAAAGAATAACTCGTCTTTATTCGTAAATATTTCGCTGCAAATGATTATTTCCAAAGGCCTAGCTTGTGTTGTGCCGTGCGTCGCTATGGTTAAATTGATCGTCGCAGGCGAATATCGTCACATCTATATTTTCACCCAGTATTCCATTCAAGAGCAGTGTCAATTGCTTGCTGTACGCGTTAATTAACAAGTGATTACAGTCTGACGATCTGTGGCGATTTCATTTCGGAGGAACAATTCAAAATTTACTAATTCTCGCGATGACATTAGCGCTCATGAGGATAGATTACACGACGGTAGGAGTTACCTCACGTGGCACAACTGTGATATTCCCTCACCAGGAAGCGAAGCAACCGCAAAAGTTCGCCGTTGCAGATCACGATGGTATACTGCACATCTACGGTAATAACGTATTTTGAATAATTGATGTACATTCGCCGTCCGAAAGATTCTGTTTTTTTTTTGTCATACAGTTTAAGAAGCCATCTTGTCTTGCCCAATAGGATAATTTATTTTTCAACAGAAGAATGTCCTTATTGTACAAAACAAAATAGGTTCTTGAATTGATAAAAAAAAAAGAAAAAACAGACAACCTTTCTGATAGCGAATGTACATCAACATTTTCCTTGATTAGAAAATATAGTGGGTGTGCCATTGGACATATGCACAGTAAGTCTGCATAAATTATAAAACAGTTACTAAATGTCTTTATTGTGACAGTTCGTAGCTTATATTGGAGTTAAAAAAAAAGAAACATAATAACAATTTTAGTTTGACACTCCTTGGATCAAATTAACTGAAACGAAAAATTAGGATCGTAGTTGTTAAATCTTCAGTTATTGCACATATATATAAGGATCCCAGACAGTAGAAGTTTCTAAAAGACATGTTAAGAACACCTAAAAGATGTTTGAAAATGTAAAACGTCTTTCAAACATTCTTAACACATTTTTTAGAAGTTTCTGCTATTTAGGATATAATTATCTTCTTAAAGCATACGGGATTTTTACTCCTTTCTGTATGAGTAAATTATCTTTTTTAATATATACTTTAAATTATCTATATTAAAAATAATCTTTAAATATTAAATATTAAAAATAAATTTTATCTATATTAAAAAATGATCACGACAAATTTTTCAAATTTACTTTTTTCTGTAGCCAAAACTGTAATAACTGTACACTGGGTAAGCATATTTATAGATGTATACGTAAGAGCATATATTTTAGAAAAATGATTGGGTTCCACAGACCCACAGCGTGCTAAATTAAGCAGTAAAAAGTAGGTATGTCGACGAAGATCTAAAATCCTACTGTTCTATGTGAGCAGGCATGAAAAAGGGAGAGCTGCAGTTGTCGTTTAAATCCCTGCCCGGCCCAAAAATCCACAAAATGGTGCTCGGTGGTTCGATAGGTATGTTGAGGGATAAGGTTTTCATTGCGTACGGCAGCTCCGTAAAGGGATTCACGAAAAAGGGCAAGCTGTTCTTAGAGTTTGACACCAGCCTTATAGATCCGATTTCCGCGCTGTAAGCCTCACACGCTCGTGATTCCATCCAATAGTTTCTTCGCGTTCTTCGTTGTCGCACAATCGTGATCAATGGTCCAATGTTCTCACATAGGTATGTCTATGGTGCGGATCTCGCAGCATGCGCGCGCGATCTCTATCACAGATATAGAGACTGCAAAGACGCTGACTCGTACTTGGCCGGGGAGATGTTGCACGACGTCGTGCTCTTGCCTGGAGAATACAGTGCGGTATACGCTATTCTAGCTTGCGCGGATAGCGCGGTAAGATCGTCTAACTGATCTCAGATAGCATGAAACTTCCTGAAATTATCTTCAATAATTTCATTAATCTTCAATTTCATAAGGATATCGTAAGCTTTTATTATGCTGCAAAAGATTTGTCGTGTTTGTCAAATAAAATAGAAAACAAAATTTTCTAATTTCGAATGGTCAATAATTTTTAAAAGAATTACTTAGTATAACTTGATACTTTTCTAAACATTTAATAGAAAATGATAAATTTTTTTAAATGATAAATTTTGTGTATCAATTTAATATTATTTTGGACATTTAGAATGATTTTTCAACGTCTTGTGTTATCTGGGATAGTACTATGAAATGATTAAAGGAAAATATTATTAAATATGGAAAATATTATTAAATATCATTTCGATGAGCCTTCTCTTAGCTGTTCGATATTCGAATTTGACCTTCTCTAAACGGAAATCTGAAAAAAAATACAATTCTGTTTGTAAGAAAATTATCTTGTAACTTGCATAATTATTATCGTTAACTCATTAATATATAGAATCGCTGCACAATATATATTCTTGTTACTTAGGTGCGCGTCTTGCACGGTACGAAAAGCCCGACGGTTCTGAGATTGCCAAGTGTTCCTACGGTGCTCTCTATATACAGGTGGTTGTGTCACTGACATTTATATCGAATATATTATAATTTATAAATTAGTTATCATATCGAGTTTAACGCGATGTCACATGTCACTTCAGAGAAGGAGATATACAGTCAAAGGACCGCGTTCTCGTTGGCACCGCAGACGGTAGGATCGGACTATTGATCCTTCAGGGCAATAAAACGCTCCGAATCACTTGGCTGTTGACTTCGACGGGCTCGGGAATTACTTCATTGGATACCTACGAGTTGCAAGACGGCATGGATATTCTCGTGGGTCGGCAAGACGGAGTGATCGAGGTGTACACATTTCCCGAGGAAGATGTGCCTTCTACTCTGCGCTACCATTATGTGAGCGATGGCGAATATGAGGATCTTGTCAAATTCAATTAGACTAATCCGAAATTGCGATAATTATTTTAGAACGCCGGGGAGAGTATCAGCACAGTCGTGGGCGGGATAATAGGCGTCGCTAATTATGCCGAGATTCTCGTTACGACTTATTCGGGCCGGATATTCGGATTGACCACTAGCCCTCCTGGGCTGCTGGAAGCGGGACAGAGTGAAGCTGAACTGGTTAGGCTGAAACTGGAGATTCAGCAACTGCACGAGAGACTTGCCGAAGAGAAGGAAACGTCCAATTACATGCCAGACCCCTTGGCACCTCTAATACTAGCAGTGAATCACAAGTGATTAAAAGAAACCAAATTATTTGCAATTATTTGATTCTCTGTTAAAATATAAAATCAATTTATCTTCTAGTTTAAATACAAATTTAAACGTAAAGTGTGCACTTGTAGAATGGTGTTACACAAGGAGGACGCTTCGTACTCATTGTCCATAGAGCTAGACGCGTCGATTGATAATATTCTGATACAGTCGGACACTCCTATCGACCTGTTGGACACTGAGAACAATAGCGCAGTGATCAGTCTATCTGCTTGCAATCCCAAAGATGGCAATTTCGTCCTCGCTACTTATCGATGTCAGGTAAATTTATGTGTATGGAATTTTTACGTTGTTCTTCGGGAACTTTCACGTAATTTTCATGCGAGAAATAATTTTAATAGATCAACACGAATCGTCTTGAGATGCGATTGAGATCTATTGAAGGCCAGCCGGGTACTCTGCAAATTTACGTGACGTCCCAGGTACTTCGAACATCGTTCTCTGATTTCTAAAAACATGCACGTCGTTAAATATTGATGATCGTTCCCAGGTACAGCCAAAACGTTGCCGCAAGATCTTAGTTCCCATATACGCCCTGTCTCTGCATGTCAGACAACACGACGACGACAACACCACGCAGTCCAATGGTCCGTTCAACGAATTAAAGTTAAATGGTAACTTTACGATCGCCGAGGTAAAGACTTCGTCCTGCTAATTTTATCGCTGTAAATTTTTTCACGTTCTTCACGGATTCTTCTCTCATTCAGATGCATGCGTGGCTTTCTTTAGCATTACCGGACGTACCCGAGAGACCTCACATTCACGACGGTGAAGCTGTATTGGTCTATGTCTCGTCCTTCATCGGAACGGTCCTGAAATGCAAGTATAAGTAAGTCTGTAACGTAAAGTCAAATTTACATTCACGCAATTAATCCTTCGATGAATCATAGGAAAGGAAGCGCGCTTTTCCTCGGCGAAAATATATCCACCATCATAATTCTCAGAGACATATTGACCAAGGAGGCGACGAAACGTAAAATTAAGTTGGACGTATTTTGCGGTAATTAATGCTGCGATTCTTCCATGTTCTAAACAAAATTTAGAATTTAATAAATTTAAAACTAAATTCAAGAAAGAGATTTACAGTAAATTTAAAACTAAATTCAGAACTTAATAAAAGAACTTAATTGTAAAATGAATAAATTGCACGAAGATTTTCTCACAGAGGTAGCGGAGGGAAGCGTATCCAGAGTACTGGAGCTGATTCTCCCGCGGTTAATCGCAGCCCACGAATTAACCCAGAAGATAAAGATTCTGGACGCTCTCGATGAGTGGGAACTAAAGTCCAACCCGAAGGAGAATTTGTGCTCTGAGTATCAAGAATTATTACAAAAGGAGACGGAGACAAAGTCGTTTATAGCGAAGGACACAGAAATTCTGAACAGATTAAACGCGATAATCACCGATTTGTACGTGGATTGGGAACGGGCGAAGCGATCTCGAAGGTAATAGCTGAGATTGAATTAGGATTTTTGCAAAAATCACAATTGAATCGTGATCCATATAAACGTTTGTATAACAGGATCAGTGGCAAAGAGGCTACGATGAAGCTCCAAGATGCACTCGAATCCAAAAACCTGACCACAATCTTGCAAGTTTTCATTGGTAAAAATGATACAACCATGCCGACCTTAATACCTGCGGCAATTTAGAGCATTCGGAAATTGGTAAAAAGTGGACCAATGTATTTCTATAAACATGTTCAAGTAGAAAATATATTTTTTTAACGACGATTCACAATATAAATCGTTAAATTGTCTACACTTAAAAATGTACAGTCGTGGTTAGTATTATAATTACAGTATAATGCGTATATGTGTATATATATATATATGTGTGTGTGTGTGTGTGTGTGTGTGTGTGTGCGCGCGGCGCGTGTGTACGTGTGTGTGTGTGTGTACGTGTGTATATACGTATGTATATGTATATACAGGGTATCTCAGATCTGCATATCTAAACTGAAAAAAAATGAATACGCCAAAACAGGAAACTTTTCTATTTGGTACTTTGGTACTTTGGTCGAGTCTCAAAAATCAAATTCAGTTAATCTCTTCAAATCTCTTTCAAAATATCATGGATCAATGTAGCGTCGTGTTGCTGCATCTCAGAACCTACGACGAAACAATTTTTATAAAACTAACACGTTGTTAAAATAAATGTTTCAAAACGTATTTCTTTTTGTTTAAATAAGTATTTTTATGTTTTTAATACCTGAATTTGGTAAAACCAAATATTTGGTAAGAACAGTAATATCTCATTTTTATTCTATTTTAAATTGAGGAAGCGGTATATTTTAGATTTGCCTAAAGTACCAAAAAGAAAAGTTTCCTGTTTTGGCGTGCTGAATTCACTCTTTTAGTTTAGACTTGGAGACACTCTGTATATAGTCAGTGGCACAAGAATATTTTTCTTACAAACGCTATTTTTCTTAGAATACAAAGTTTTTTTTCAGAATTGTGAACACAGTTTTAATGTACATTATACGCACTAAAACGCGTTTATCTAGTGTGGCGTTCAGTCTCTTCCATTATTGAGCATTATGTCTTGGCAGCGTCGAGGCATATTCTCAACGAGATTTTCCGGAATGGACACGTGAAAACGTCATTACTACAATAGATTGGCTCTCACAATCTCCCGACACTAATCCCATTGAAAACATGTGGGCAACCATGAAAATGAAGCTTCGGGGAAAACGAGTTCACTTTGAAACAATTGTCGTATCAGCTTCGCACAATATAAAAATCATTACCTAGATATTAGCAGAAAATCTTGTTGAAAGCATGTTTTGACGCTGCTAAAGTATACTTAACAACAGTGGCGTAGCCAAGGGAGGGAGACTAAGGGGGCTGCAGCCCCCCCTCCGAAATTAATTTTCTGGGTTACGCTAATATGTTCGACTAGCTCTGGGTTATTCAGCCTACGTTTATTGGTCGAACAAATATAAGCTTTATGATTGGCTAGAGACTTATGACATTATTAATCGCTCTCGGAGCGATTAACCCAGGGCTAGTCGAACATGCTATTAGTGTGAGAAAAATTTTTTCGGATGACCTTTTTTTGCTCGTCACAAATAAAAAATACAGCCTCCCCCGAAACTTTTTTCTCGCTACACCACTGCTTAACAATGGAGAGGACTGGACGCTATACTGGATAAATGCACTTTAATGCATACAATGTACATTAAGACTATGTTCATAATTTTGGAAAAGACCTTATATTACGGGAAAAACAGCATATATGCTTTTGTGCTACTGACTATATATATCATATATATAAATAATATATACTATATATATCATAATATATATTATATATATTATAATATTATGTATTATAATATATATATTATAATAAAATATATATTATATATATGTAATTTTTACGGATCCGTTGTGTGTTCTTTCTTTTCCTAAAACTATAACAGTCCGGTTTTGTATTCAGTTTTATATGCAAATTACTTTTTGCTTTTCCTTTCCGTAAAATTGAAAAAATACGCTACACATTACTTGTAGGCAGTGCGTTCATACGGTTTACTTATCAGTCATTTATATTAAATTGGCCAAAAGTAAACAATACAATATTTTAAACTTTATATGACTTGTACAATTGGGTGCATTAACGCTTTTCAAAGGGTTTGTATTCCAATCGTCAAATTATTCTATGGTATTTAACAAACACTGTTCACACACTGAATTAAGCATAGATTCATGCAATCAACGTCTTTCTTGAAGAAAATACAAAAGGAATAGCCGGTTGTCCAACAGAACCGTTGAATCTTTTTGCGAATACAGTAGAACCAGAGCATTAATGCATCCAACTACACAACAAAGCGACTTCAACTCAGTTCTTTTAATCCCTTTACATTAAATCTTTAAATTCTAATAATTTAAATATAAATATACTTGCAGAATTTAACAGTCTGACATCCATGATTTTGCGAAACACGATCTATGCATTATGAACCTCTTGAGTTACACGCCGTTGTACGATCGATCCTATTGTACAGCAGAGCACACTTTCTCTTCGTGTATGTCGTTTCAAGATTATATCAAATAGTATTGTCTGCAAAAAAACATAGTAGATTAAAAACATGAATCTTACAAAAGCTTTAATGGCGAACAATCAATGAAAATGATTAGCTATAAGAGTTGTTGATAAGAATTTAAATCCAATAATAGGAGAGAATAAAATTGTTTGACAGTGTAACGCCAGCATTTATTAAGATTAATTAAAGGAGGTTACTACATGATTGTGCGTTATAATGTACAAATCTTCTTTAATCAATAACTAAAAATCTACATGATCATTTGCAAAGTGATACAGTATTTTTTTGTTCAGTTTGGTCTAATGTATAAACATACGCCACCATCACTGCTCATTTATTGTGCGTGATTATTTATCAATCTTCTTTAATTAAAATTCTTTCTTTAATTAAAATTTGCCACCATCACTGCTCATTTATTGTGTGTGATTATTTATCAATCTTCTTTAATTAAATTTCTTTCTTTAATTAAAATTTGCTTCTTTAATCAAAATTTTACGTAATTGTTTGCGAAATAATAGAGAAATTTTGTTTGATAAATTCTACTTGCACACAACGAGTGTGTCATAAATTGTCAGACGTCTTGTATAGAGTCTTTTTTCATGTAGACAATGTAAATTATGTAGAATATTGTAAGTTACATTAAAATGTACAGAAAAGAGTAATTGAATTGTGAGACAGTTTCAATATCTGTTTCGGGTATTAACTATAAATGTAGTGTTTAAAAAAGATAATAAATTGCATGAAATTTTTATGTGATAGATTGATAGATTTAACTCTCTGTATAAGTAAGAATATAATCAGAAAATTCTGTGGACCCTAACTTGTTTAGAAAACAACGTTCATAAATTTACATCAGTATTCTAAATGTAAAATAAAAATTTAATTTCTCTTAATTGATTTTTGAGTAAGTCGTATATTTTTTAAACGACATTTATAGATTACTAACTGTCTACATAGGTGATATCTCATACATAGTCTTCACGTTGTCTATCACACACGTAGAATATCACGTAGAATATCATAATTATATGGTAATATATTATTTATTTGAGATTGCCGGGTAACTTTAGATTTCCTCCCGCAATTAGCTTTAAATTATCGCAATACGTATTGATCAGCTAATCTTTTTCACTGTTAGTAAAAGAAGACCTATCATTAATTGATAAAATCGATCAGCTCGATAAAGACAGATAAATGCGTTACTCACATATTTTCATTGGTTCGTACAGCAGCTTCCAGGGGATCTCTGTCGGTAGCTGCGTCTGTTGTAGGCGTCACGGTATACTCTAAGTTTTGTCCGCCTGTGTGAGGCAAAATGCTCTCAGGATTGTCGTCCGGTGGCACGATTTTCACCACTCCAGTCGCTTCGACCTCTAACTTCAGATCTCTCACGAGATCCTGAATCGACTGCGCTTGCACCGCTTTATCGCCCTCCTCTTCCACCGTCTTGCCCGTGAGGATTCTGTTTAACGGCTTGTCGCCCTTCGTCCTGGAGTGCGTGTGCATGTGCCGCTTCATATCGCTACGCACTCTGAACGGCTTGCCGCACACGGCGCATGGGTGTGGCTTCTCGCCGGTGTGTATGCGCCGGTGATTCTGCAAGTAACTGCTCGCCCTGAACGTTTTGTTGCAGTACTCGCAGCGGTAGTTCTTCTCGCCGGTGTGGATACGTCTATGAACGATCAGCGAGTATTTCCGAGCGAACTCTTTGGCGCAGTACTCGCACTGGTACTGCTTGTGCTCCGAGTGAATGCTCGTCGCGTGATACTTGAGGTCGCCCCATTGCCGGAAATGCCGCCCGCATACCTCGCATTTGTACGGCTTGTCGCCACTATGAAGTCTTTTGTGCACCTGTGCGCATTGACAAGAGAAAGAGAATTAGAATTAACAATTGGAATTAGAATGAAAAATGAAGGACAAGTAAGAGCCAACTGTTATTACAGCGATATAATAAGGATATTTAAGAAGAAAGATATATATTTCATAAGAAAAAGAGACATTTGATGTACAGAGTGAAGTATGTAATTGGAATCACTTCGCTTTGGAGCCTTACTAATAGATTGTTACATTCAAAATACAATAAATCGGATAGGAGTCGTCGGAAGGTCATATTATTTAATATGATTGAATTTATTTTAATCTACAATTTTTGTTACAGAATAAAAATTGCTTTTCGTTTAAAAATCTGGAGGTGATGATGAAGTTTTGGATACTAGAAGTGATAAAAAATGTGAAGTGTATTGTATAGCTTCCTTCAAATCACACAATATTCATTTTGGACAACTTTCGTTAAAATTAATATTTATGGCATTATCAAAGTAGTTCCAGTTATGTGCTTCATCCTGTATAATGAATATTTCGGTCTTAATCGTTTGGATTCTCCTCAACAATAAGTAACTTTATACTTAAAAATGTATACCGTCATAACGCTTACAAATTATAGTACGTTATGACACACTATAAATTTTTAAGTTTAAAATTGTTATTTATTGTTAGTGGAAAGCATCCAAATAATTGGGGTCAAAAAGTTCTTTATGTATTAAATGTGAACACAGTTAAATATTGCTTTAACAATAACATTGGTTCTTATTTTCCTTTAAAGTTTTCATTTTGATTATATATTTTGAGCCTTTTTATTTTTTATGTAAATTAGAATTAATAAAATACACTATGTGTATTATTAATATACTAAAAGGCACTTTGCTATTCAATTACGAGATAGGAGAAAGGCAAACTTAGAAGAATTAGACGCAGATACTTGTTTGTGTAAAGTTTTCTCAGAGAGAAATTCAGTTAAAACGTTTGTGATACGCAATATTAAATTCAAAAAATTAAAGAAAAATATTTTAACTTGACTTCTTAAAAAATCCTTATTTACACAAATAGCTGTGTATTCATAGGCCTTTCTCCTTTTATTTCGGGATATAATTAGATTGTTGCAAGTGCCATTATTTAAAATCAACGGAATGCTCACCTTCAACGCGCTGGCAGCAAAGAAACGCTTGCTGCAGATCTCGCACTGGTGCGGCCGTTCTCCGCTGTGAGATCGCATGTGATAGACTAAGCTATTCTTATGGTGGAATGAACGATTGCATTGAGGGCACGTTAATTCGTCAGCTGCGACAAAAAAAAGAATTTACAATTCTTTGGCATTTCTTCACCGACTTGCAAAAATTCCTTTTAAGAAACTTTACGTACTTGACTTTCGCGTTTTTGGTGACTTCTTTTTTTTAGCCGTCTGCGGAATGTCAGTCTTTGCTTTCTCGTCTAAGCTTTTTTCACTAACGACGGACGCTCTCATATGGTCCCTCTGTGCCTGTTCGGTGATGTCGGTAATGGTCCACATGGTTGGCTCATTGTTCGCGGTGGGCAGTGGAGACTCTGTGTCGTCGTCGATGTGCGCACCGGTTTCCTCCACTGGAAATGGGGAAATTCAAATGACGACTGTCTATAGCAAGTGTTGAAACGTAAACGTTAAGGCTCCATATTACATGTTTAAACGAAGACAATGTTGAAACGTGTATTTAGAACATATACATTCACAGATATATATGAAGATGTTTCTAAACGAATAACGTTTAAACGCGTATTCGAAAAGCGGATCAAATCGGGGGTCCTACTAGCGGTTATCTTAATTGATAACGTCAAAAGCGAGGTAATGCACGTTAAAAGTTCTTGCAAAATGCGTTGAAATAAAATATATTTACAAAATGATACTTGCAGTCGATCGAGCAGACTCGTAAAATAGTCTAAGCGCTTTCATTTTGCTCGAACAGTGGAGGAATAGTCGTGAAATTAACGTGAAAAAATATTGAGAAAATTAAGGTTGAACAGGAAGGGTGCATATCACGTTAATTTTATGATTACTTATTGATTGTCAGAGCAAAAGAAAACTGCTCAAAGTATTATTAGAAATGTGCTTCATCGAGTGCAAGTGTCATATGAATATATCTTTTTATTTTGATGTGCTTTGCAGGAATTTCGGGCATGTAAGGAGCCTTACAATGCAAAGACACTCTCTCTCACCTACACCTCGAATACCCTCCATTAGGTCCTCAGGTTCGCTGAATTCTTCGATTACAGTATTATCTAAACTATGCACTGTTTCTGGTACTGATATCGTGATATTAGTATTCGTCGCTTGAGCTATTCGCGTCTCTTGTTTGACCGGCTCGTAATGCACCTGCAAATTATTCAGTATTTTTTTTATGCAAAATAAACAATACAATATTATGATGTTAATATTGTATATTGTATATATTGGAGTTTGATTAAACTTCAATATACCTTCAAGTGCTCGAAGAACTTCAACTGACTGCTGAACTTCGAACTGCACAATTCACACTTGAAGATATTAGCCTGGGTCTCATTGGCGGAGTCGGTTGCTACGTTTTCCTGATTCGACTTGCCACTGTCCTTCCGCGCAGCATTCTTCTTTGTCTGCTGCTTCAACTTACGAGGTATCCTCTTCTTGTGCGGCAAGGTTCTCTTAGGTCCAGATGCCGACGTGGCGTCCTCACTGCTCTCCGCAGAAACCTCAACGTCGTACTCGCTTTTGACGTTGATGAACTCCTGCTTTACGTTCTGCGTGATTCTCTTGAACGGCTGCAACGTCGGGTACACGGTGGGGGCGTTTGGTTCTGGTACAGCTTGAATGGCGTACGAATTCACCGGTGCTAAGGTCTCTAGGTGAGAAACGTCTGGTAAAGTCGGGTCCTCGTGCTGAGACTGAATGTGTAGTTGCTGTTGCTTTTGTTGCTGGTGTAACTGCACCGCAACCAAAGCCGCAGCCAGTCTACGGTCCTCCTGCATCACACAATTCACATTCTATATGCAAGTTATAATATATAGTTCCTGGATATTAAGTAGCATATTACAACCTCTGTCAATTCATGTGACAACAAATCATCCTCATAATACTGGGTAGCGGTGCCATAGTCTGTACCGACTCCAGCATTGATCATGTCTACAACCATCCCTTCTGAGATTAATTCACCATTCAGTGCCAACAGTGGTACTCCCTTGCTCAAGGATTCTCCATCAGCTCTCTGAATGGTGATATACTGAGCACCTTCCATTCCCTCCAAAAGCACCGCTTGTGCTTCTTCTGTTGTGACTTCCATGTTGGAATATTCCCAATATCAGTAGCAATTAATCACTTTCTCTCAAAGCTTATCTGTTCTTATAGATAGCATCCAATTATCTACATAGATCAGCTCTTTGTATCTAGGAAAGAAAGGTGAATTTAAAAAGACTGATGTTCTTTAACATTCTACAATTAAAAATTACATTAAAGATTAATTAAAGGTTGAAATGAAAACAATTTTCTATACTCTTTTGCGTTTTCAGTACTTGAAATGAAGCAAGTTATTCGCAAAAAATCTTTTGAAAAAAATGAGGGAAAACGCGTGAGAAGGCAGAATGGAGAATCGAGTGTGTGTGTGTGTGTGTGCGACAAAATTTGAATTTGCCGCCGATACGTGCTTTAGAGCTGACAGCGAGACCAAGGTCACTGCACCCGGAGCACTCAGAAAATCTCACCTTCATCTTGATACACGTTACACGTGTACAAATTCGCTCACTCCCACTTCCGTTTATCGTAATCCGCGTGACCGGCTGCGCTTCTTGTCTTCTTCTCGCGCAATCTAAGCGACGTAAACAATGCAAAATATTGAAACACTGTAGGACAAAATGTGACAACAATGCTTGGCTCTTGACGCCATTAGACCGGATGTATCCCTCCCAGGCGAACACGCAGTGCTGGCAACTTCAGTCGAGAGTCGCGACGAAAGTCTCTGTCTCGCCGGGCGAGATCACGTTTGTGCCTTTTGTAACATTTTTCTTGCTTAGAAAAATCAGCCAATTCCTCTCTCTTCCTCTCCGATTTCCGCGTGTTCCTCTCGATAATAATTTTGCACAATGACGATAATTATTGTACAATCACAAATAAGATGAATTTAACGCAAAGCAGGTTATCACAGATACATCGTGTTAACATTATAATAATGTTATCTAATAAATGAATAATTATACAAACAACACGATGAGATTCAAGAAACGAACCGAATGTTCCAATAGCTTTCGTTTCGCATCGCGCTCGGCATCGTTTCGAAGAACTTTTTGTCCGCATTTTGGCGACGCTGGTCACTGCCCTTTTTTCGAGACGAGCGACCTTCCGGTTTCTAATGGCTGTGCAAAATATCGCGGAATGTCAAATTAGTGTGTACGGCGAGAGTAGCGTTTGCGTGATTTTTCGGCGCGACACAACCGCGTTCAAGCCAGCGGACAGGTCGGCCGGTGGCGTCGCCATCGTTCAGGAATTAATTCGTCGTGACGAAACAGTAAATAATTTAAATGCGCATTACGTCAGACGAATCGTGAAGGGTTAAGAGGAAGCTCGCACCTACGTATACGCAGTCATTGTCAGCTGATTCATTCTCTCGCTAAGCAGTTTTTACGCGTCTTTTTTTTTTTTAACCTGTCACGTTGAAACGCAGAGGCGTTCGTAACGTTGTCGTTGAGGAGCGAATAATGAATGGGATCTCGCGCGAGGTCCTCTTGTCGAAGGAGCGCTGAGACGCGAGCGGTGTCGCGTTTTTAAACAAGTAAATATTATTGTGGTTGCACGAGTGGTCGATAGCGAAAGTGCGATATGAACTTTGGATGTGTGATTTCTATCAGTCTGTCGCGAGCCCCGCGCAATTTCCGACCACGTCGCGTCATTGTCGTTGCAGGTGATGAAATTTTACAGCCACTGCTATCGTTTGCACTTGCAGAGTCAGACCAGCCAGTCTGGAATTATGTGACGGTGCCCAAAATATCGCAGAGTGATGGCTTCGATCTGTCGACGCTGGAGATTATGGATATTGCCTGTGCTGACCTGCCTATATGCGCTAATCATTGTTATACTTGTACCAATCTTGTTGGTTAATTCTATTAAGACTGGCTTCAAGAAGCAGGATGCTCTGGTGGGTGGCGCCTTTGTCTTACTGGCGTTGCCTATTGCCTTTTATGAAATTGTCCAGCATATGATATACTATACGCAACCTAGGTTACAAAAATACATAATAAGGTGAGGTATTTTATCATGCTGGGAATGTATACAGATTTACTTTTTCTTATCGTTTCTTCTAGTTAAGTGGTATAAGAAATAGGGATAGATCTTTTTTCATGAAGTATTCTTATCTTGAATAACTTTTACTTGCTCAAATTTATACTTTATTTATTTTATTACTTAAATTTTGCTTTTCTCCTTAAAGAAAAATTTTATCTCATAAAATGTTCTTGCTTTGGATAAATTTTATTTACTGCTCAGCGAAATTTATACTTGATTTATTTGTTGCTTCTTTTTTACTTTTCTACTTGAGGATAAATTTTATTTCATAAAATATGTTCTTACTTTTCAGGATATTATGGATGGTACCAATTTATGCGGTGAATGCTGTAAGGAAAAGTTCCAAATCTCTTTTATGTTAGAAACAAAGTGAAGTACCTACTTATTTATTTAATGGATATTTTCTATTTGAACAGTGGTTAGGTTTGGTATATCCCGAAGGCAGTATATACGTGGACAGTTTAAGAGAATGCTACGAAGCTTATGTAATATACAATTTTATGATGTATTTATTGGCCTATCTAAATGCTGATCACCAATTAGAGCATAGACTGGAGATCTCTCCTCAAGTACATCATATGTTCCCTCTATGCTGTCTTCCCGATTGGGAAATGGGAAGAGAATTTGTACATATGTGCAAGCATGGTATTTTACAGTATACAGCAGTCAGGCCTATAACAACTGCAATATCATTGTGAGAGAAGTCCACTTGTAATTTTCTGTAATAATTCTCTGATACTGTGACAACATGGTCTTGTATTTGACTGCTCTGTGTATTCTTGTAGTATCTGCGAATTGAACGGTGTCTACGGAGAAGGTGAATTCAGAGGAGATGTAGCTTTTCCATATATGATTGCTCTAAATAATTTGTCACAATTTGTTGCCATGTACTGTCTGGTACTTTTTTATCGTGCCAATGCAGAAGCCTTGAAGCCAATGAAACCAGTTGGAAAATTCCTGTGCATTAAAGCTGTAGTATTCTTCTCATTTTTGTATGTATTACACAATGTTCGTACATACAAAAATACAATATAGACATGTGATATAAATGTAGTATAAATATGATGTAAATAGAGACAGAAACAAAATATATGTATATGTATATCTTCTGTTGCAGTCAAGGAGTAATAATATCTTTATTAGTATACCTCAACGTTATATCTAGCATTTTTAAAACGGACGACACAGACTACATCAGGAATATATCGTCAAAGTTGCAGGATTTCCTAATTTGCATAGAAATGTTTTTAGCCGCGGTAGCGCATCATTACAGTTTTTCCTACAAACCATTTGTCAATTTAGCGCAAGGCCAAGCATGGTGGGATGCATTTAGGTATGTAAAGCGTGTTCTTTTTGAGAGGAAATCAATGTGTGTATCTATATTATGTAAGAAAAAAAGAGCCAATATTCACTCTTTCAGTTTTTAGTTACAAGCTATTTTAATCTAAAACTTAACTATAACTGCAACTTTAATCTATAACTGCAACGTAAAGAGATACCATAATATCATCGCGAAAGTTCCACAAATTAACATTCATTTTACCTCGCAGAGCAATGTGGGATGTTTCCGACGTACATAACGACATAAAGGAACATTTGGGTGTCGTCGGCTCGTCCCTAAGTCGCAGGATACGCGGACGCGGCGCATATCAGCAAGCCTGGGGAAGCGCGACAGAGCGTACTTCGCTATTACCCGAGGGCGCGGTAGCAACGGCCAGAAGCGCTCCGGCCTGCTCGTTTTCGGGCTATCACACGGCCGAGGTCGGGCCGAACAATAACAATCCATCCGCCAGTGAATTTGAGGAAGCGATGGTGGATGTGCAGGATAATAGTAATGCCGTCAACACGTAGCCAGGTGTCCAAGTCCATCCGTGCTGGAACGATTCTCGTTGGTTGCTCCACGAGACCGGCGTACTTTAGCGGAGAGATGATTCCTTAGTATTATTTTTTAAGCGAGGAAAAATATATAGTTTTGCAACAACGCTCTCCCGCACTATTGTACAAATCATCGTCGTGGTCATACACTGTGGCTGTCACATCACATATGTATCGCGTTCGTACCGGATAAGAAATTGCACGGGATAATTTCATGATCATGCAATATACCTTTGTAGTCGCGATTGATTTAACGATAATTTGACTGAAATTCGACTACAAGTAAAATTTTTCTATGTGTCAAATTTGAAGTTGACTGAGCAATGCGATCCCCCCCCCCCCTTCGTACGTTTTTCCTTCTATAAGGTCAAAGGTACCAGTGTCTGGACACATCTAACTCTAGACACTCTTGTTTGATCTTTTAAGGCTCCTTGCCACGGCCATCTTGATTTATGAACGTCAAAAAGTAGAAAACGCACGTTAATAATTCTCGCAAAATATATTAAATGAAATAAATTGATATGTTTACAAAATATTTATAATTAATCAAGCAGACCTCTAAAATAGTTTGAACATTTTTCTTTTACTCTGATAATCAATAAGTAGTCGTAAAATTAATGTGACAAAATCCTGAGAGAAAGTGGGTTAAAGGGGAAAATTGCATTGACACATTTAATTTCACTGTCGTTTATTGATTGTTAAAGCGAAATTTTTACTTCAACGTTTTTTCAGGAAATTTTAGCGTGTATTTTATCGTTTCTAACGTCATCAATCAAGAGTTCTGTGGCCAGGAACCTTAAACACGAATACTTAAATTTTTAACAAATTATATATATACATTCAATATATATATAGTCGTATATATATATGTGTCGAAAGTTTAAATATTCGTATTTAAAGATAAAGATATCGAGGCATTGATATTTTTATTTTAATGTCGTTCTTGAGTCAATCGAGGAATCTTTAGTGGAAGGGACATCCAGTGGTTACGCGATAATCTGTATAATCTAAGACGATCTAAGACTTTTAGAAATTTGATACAGCGTCAACACAAATGACGAATTTTAAGGGAGAAACGAAAACTGCTTTTTACATTGATTACTTTGCAAAAGTACATTCGTACGCTTTATGTTACCAATGATGTACTACCAAATAATGTATATACGTTTATACATGCGTAGAAAAATACCATTCGTACAATGATACTTGTATATACCTTGGACGACCAATGTGTCACGGTTGTTCGACACGTCTGACAAATGTACACACTCGACATCGTTAGTGCATTTCAGTTTCGGGGCGAGCATCTTCGGGTCGAATATACCTTGCGTGTAATGTTCAGCTGGATCATTTAATATTTAATTAATTGTTTATGCGTGACATTTCGTGCGACTATTTAGACAAGATATTTTCTACTCGAGAATGCTTCAATCGGAAACTGGAAGCCACTGACGATGCCGTGTCTTATTTTTCTCGATATATTAAACAAGGGTTACAAAAACGAGCCATATCCGCGATATATTAGACACTCAGAATATCTGCAGTCCTTTTCGCTTTGTACGTACACACGCGAATATAATCCGCACTGTATTTATAATTTAAACTTATTTTATAATTACAGTATATATATGTATCAGAAATAAAGGCTGTGTACGTTTACTACAAAAATCAGCCCTTGAAAACTAGTTTTCCAAGCAGAAAGCTATCTCTTTGTTCTGCAAATATTTCATTCTTTTTAGTTCGTATTTAGAATATATACATACACACACACACACACACATAAGCTAGTTATAAATTAATTTGTATTTTTAAAAAATATTTTTCTCTAAACATATAAACTAATTATAAATTAGTTTATATTATAATTATATTAGTTTATTATAATTATAAATTAGTTTATACTTATAAATATTTTTTTATATTTGGCTGCTTCTTGATTTGGCGTTGTTGTATTTTCTAAATTTTAAATCGCGAGTAAAAAATACAGAAAAGATAGCTAAGAAGAATAATACATTTCGTATATTGCCGCCTTCTTTCACCAATTCCGTGATGCCATAATTTGCCCGCGCTTTTTCTTCCTTAGCTTTTTCTTGTCAGCACAAATAATTGATACGTGTATGTTTCTTCAGATAGCTTAAATATCCTGATATATAATATTCTATTGTATTTGTTGAGGCTACTTTTGCTTGCTTCCTATACTAACAACAAGCTAATAACAATAATATACTAATAACAAGCTTTGCGAAGTTATTTTGTTGTGTTGGGGACATAATAACGTGATATAGTAAAGGTTAAAGGTAGTAAAATAACGTGAAGACAAAATTATTCGAGATGCAAGATAAAAAGGAAACGAATGGGGAAATTATAAATCAAGAACATGAGGAATATCAATATTTGAGACTTCTCGAGAAAGTGATTAAAACTGGAGCAAGAAAGGGTAATCGCACTGGTACTGATACTTATTCCATATTTGGTACACAATTACGATTTAGACTGCAAGATGGTAAATACACATAATATAAAAATGTTTATATGTAAAAATAATATATATATATTCTACATAAATTTAAGGTAGAAGTACCAATACCTGGACATGTACCCTAATTCTGGACATTCTTCTTATTTTGGTCTTTAAATACAAATATTTAAACTTTCAAAAATAGAATATATATATATATACATATATTCTATGTTAAAAGTTTAAATTTTTGTATAATATAAAGATAACAAACATGCCCAGGAATTAGTATTTTTACTTTATATAGAAATTGAGGGCATTTACTTGAAGATATTATTCCAATAGGTGTTTTCCCATTACTGACAACCAAGAGAATATTTTGGAAAGCAGTAGTCGAAGAGTTATTATGGTTCATCAAAGGATCAACAAATTCTAAAGTGTTAACAGATAAAGGTGTACACATCTGGGATGAAAATGGTTCACGTGCTTTCTTAGATTCCTGTGGCTTTACTGACAGAGAAGAAGGTGATTTAGGACCTGTCTATGGATTTCAATGGAGATATTACGGCGCAGAATACAAGAATATGCATACAGATTATACAGGACAAGGTATTTCATAAAAGTATTCTTAATATTCCTTGAATAAGTTGCTGGTTTTTTCCCCAAAATCAGTCAGCAATATAGCATATTCCTAATATTCCTCTCTAAAAAAAGGCATGTAAGAGATTTAATTGTTGCCACTTTTCTCCCTGTCTTTCCCTATAATTATTAATTAATTAAAGTATATTTTAATTTGTTTTATTTTACATTTTTTATTGTTTTTTATTAGCTATATAGCGCACGCATATATTGTTCTAGTGTAACTAAAAATCAGTGTGAATAAATTAAGCTATGTTTATTTTTCCAGGAATTGATCAACTGAAGGAAGTTATTCATAAAATTAAGTATTCTCCAGATGATAGACGTATCATAATGACTGCTTGGAACCCAACTGATATACCAAAAATGGCATTGCCACCGTGCCACAGTTTTGTCCAGTTTTATGTAAGTAATGGAGAATTGTCTGCACAGCTCTACCAAAGAAGCGCAGATATGGGTTTGGGAGTACCGTTTAACATAGCATCATATTCCTTGCTGATCTGCATGATTGCTCATGTTACTGGCTTAAAGGTGAGGAATCTGTTCCTGTTGTAAAGAATATTGAAGAATTCGAGAACAGTATTATCTACTTTCTTTTATTTTCAGCCAGGAGAATTTGTACATACCATGGGAGACTGTCACGTTTATGTCAACCATGTAAGCGCTCTTGAAGAACAAATACAACGCAAACCACAAGATTTTCCTAAATTGAAGATATTACGGGAGATCAAAGATATCGACGATTTCGTTGCCGAGGATTTCAAATTGATAGATTATAATCCGCATCCCAAATTGTATATGAAAATGGCTCTCTGAAGTGTATTTCTTAAAACAGGGCTCGAATAAGTTACGGAAGTGACAGTTTGCGACTAAGTGTCTGCTGGCAGACAAAATTCGAGAAATAGATTAACCAAGCTACTGCAAGAAGTCGAACGATATATCAATGGGAACACGGTAGTGCAATCCATGGACGTAGTATATATGGACTCCGCATACGGCCAGAAAAGTGAAGCCAACATGTAGAGACCATAGATATAATATATATAGTAGACTCCACATAGTCAGAAAAGAGAAGCCAATATGTACAGCCCCTCTGTTCTCTGTCTCTTTCTGCACAGACAAAGTGTGCGATAAAATTTAAAACTTTTACTTGCCAGTCTAGTCGGGGTGTTGAAACGAGAAATGGATGCACGCGCAACAAAAAAGTGACAAAATAGGAAGAAAACTATAACCCCTCTATTCTCGCTCTTTCTAGACGTTGGCTTTACTTTATTAGACGACAGAACATAGGGCATTCGCAGTCCATGCATATTATGTCCATGGTGCAATCACTCCACATATTATAAATCCAGAACCAATAATTGCTAATTTTCCATAACTTGCAACAGCGTTCTCTTCGACGAAAAGATATTTAAATTCTTGCAGTAGCTTGGATGTGAATCATATCTTCGTGGTTTCGAACCCCGTCGATAATTTGAAGGAAAATCTATGTTTATATATAACTGTTAAATTTGTTTAACTTCCGCAACACACTTGGGATTAATGAAGTGACATCAATCTCCCTGCTTAACGTACTTAAATTGAACGAACATGCTACATTCTCTGAACGAATATTCGTCGTCGGAGATGTCGATTAGTACTGCTTCGGCTCTTGTCAATTACAGTATTACTTGTCGATTTAAGTGAGGCGTAAAAAAATTACTTCTAATAGCTCGATTCTTGTGGACTGTCCAATAAATGGTAAATATACTTTATATTATAACTTCTTGAGATATATAACTAGACTTTGTTTATAATTTTCTAATAAAAATTATATTCTTAATAAACCTGTACCTTAATTATACATCAATATCTTTTTCAATACCAGTCGTATGCGGTGCATGCGAAAGTCTACCGTAGTCTTTCTTACTTAAGTAAAAATCATGTCGCACACTATCTCTCATCCGATTTTCTCTATATCACACAAGTATAATTTCTCAATCGATCTCGCACGATACGATTGACATGCATGAATGATCATAAAAGGCCTTACATGACCAGCTCCCAGATATAACAGAATTACGTGATTCCTATGTATAATAATGTATATAAATTCCGCATCTTAAACTGCGCGTAAACAGATATTGGAAACAAACGATCCTCGCGCACTGTACATAATCTTTTCCGAGAAGGGATTTGGATAAAACTTATTATAAACATAAATAAAAAAAAACTTAAAAATAATTTTTGCACATAATCGATACTTCCATCGGTGGGAAAGTATAGCCAAGTTTTTATTGCAATCTTTATTGTTGTCCGTTCTTCTCGAATATTCATGAATTTCTGTAGAGTGCAAATAATAAATTTTGTTATATGGAAAAAAGGGACCTATACAAAATTCAGAAATAATTGCTGATTCTCGCGATAACCCCCCCCCCCCCCC